ATATCATTAATAAATAACAGAAAAAACAACGGCCCCAAAATTGACCCTTGAGGCACACCCGATTTCACGGGGGCGGAACTCGAGGTGACACCATCAATGGCAACACATTGGCTCCTCATTGAAAGATAAGCAGTTATCCATGCAAGTAATTTCTCATTTTTCAGAATTGGTTTGAGCTTAATTAGTAATTTCTGGTGACTCACACGATCGAAAGCTTTTTCAAAATCCAATAGTGTAACATCTACTTGACCATTCATATCGATCGCTGCTGCTAGGTCATGAAACGTCTCAATAAGCTGGGTTACCGTAGAATACCCTTTTCGAAAGCCGTGCTGAAAGGGCATGATTAGGTTATTTCTTTCGACTAACATAGACAAATGTTTGAATATTATATGCTCTAGAATTTTTACACTAGTGCATAGCAAGGAGATAGGCCTAAACGAGGATACAAGCGAATGGTCATCAGTTTTTGGTACTGGAGTGATCTTAGCATGCTTCCAATCACTTGGAAGTTCAGCGCGCAGGAGAGATGATTTGAAGATCAAGCATAGGTATTTGGCATTCCATTCAGCATACCTTATCAGAAAGGTGTTAGGTACAGAGTCAATGCCCCGTGACTTTTTTGGATCGAGATTAAGCAGAAGCGATAAGACACCCCCTTCAGTGATACAGACGTCATCGATAGGTGGCATGGTGTCATAGGTGATGAAATCACGGGTACTGTCATTATCACGCGTGTAATCAGAAGTAATCATTCATTGCGCCTGCTATTTCCCTCTTGTCGGTTATAGCATCACCGTTAATAGATAAGCTTGATACTGGACTTTTTTTGGGTGAAAGGTATTGCCAAAACTTATTTGCTGACGTCAAGAGAAAGTTTGTCAAAGCCTCGCTTTGATATTTTTCCTTTGCACTTTTCAGTTTGGCTTTCAGTGTGTGACGCATCTCTGATATATTATCTAGTCCAGACAATGATGGTCGTTCTATTTGTTGCTTTCTTGCCTTCTTTAGCTTGCGCCCTAGGCGTACGATTTTTTTTGTAATCCAGGTGGCTAGGCGGGTTTAATACCTTGCGTTTGTGAGGAACAAAGTTTTGGATACATTTAATTACTAGGTCTTTGAAAAAGCACTACAATCAGTCAACAGAACATTCACTTTCTTAAGAAAGCGTTAGAAAATCAGAATAAGAATGATCAAGAGCGTCTATTATGTCCACATCACTAGCACGCAAGAATACGGGTACAAAAACGGTCTTTTTATCAGGGATTTTAGCATAGTACAGTTGAAAGCTTAATGACACAATTTTATGGTTCGAAATGTCGTCATAAATTTCTATTACCGGACTGCGGTTATATTTACCTCTACTAACAAGAAACAGGTCTAAAATTGTGCTAGATTCATTTTGAATGCGAGTGGGCATTTTCACAAGCTGCGTCAAGTCATGGAACAGTAAAACATCAAGAAAAGATACAGATGCAGCAAGGATGGCATGTGGAAATTCACCCGACCAATTTATCATGGGAAAGTTAAAGTCGCCACCGATTAAGACGTTGCAACTACTCATTTTATACTGACACACAAACTCATCACCACAATTGGGCGGACAGTAAAATCCCCCAAAGACAATATGTAGCTCATCAAATAACACTTTAACGACAACACATTCAATTCCCTTAATATTGGGTAATCGTGTCACCTATAGCGATTCTCGAAACATGATGACAACACCGCCACCACGGGAATCTCTGTCATCACGGTACATTTTGCAGCCTGGTGGCGTTATTTCATCATTACCTATGTCTCGGTGTAGCCACGATTCTGTAATTATTAACATATGCAGTTTGTGGGCTATTATTACACTTTCTAATTCAACGACCTTGTTAATCAAACTAGGGGCATTTATGTTAAGACAATGAAACTGCTTAGTGTCCTTGCTTTTATGTCACTTCTTATCTCGCAGCCTGCTACTGCGTTGACTTATAGGAACCCTATTCATGTGAATACTGTCCCATTCATACGTTTCGTTATCAATTTGAATTTTATCATATGACAGTTTCACCTTTACTCCCGCTTTCCTGCTATCAGAGGCACTATCCCATAGGTTCTTTCGGATTTGCCTCGTGGCTGCCGAGAAGTCCTCAGACACAGACATGCCCATTCCTTTCAATTTAGAACAGTTCTTCAGCATGTGTCTTTTTTCCCTTTCATCTATGAACTTTAAGATCACAGGTCTAGGTTTGTCGGATTGCTTACGCCCCATTCTGTGTAGTCTTTCGACAGATTTTACCTCTACACCAAGCTTAGTTTTGAACAAGTCTTCAACTATTGCTGATTCCAGCGATTCTGGTGTTTCTCCCGGTTTTTCAGGAATGCCAAAAACCAGAAGATTGTTTCTTCTGCTTCTGTCTTCTGAATTCGCCAGCCTTATTTCTAGTCCTTGCACTGTTTTCTCGAGATTGGCGACGTTGGTACTCAGTTCCGTGAGGGTTGACACTGATGTTTCTACCTTTTTAAGTTTCGACTCTATAGTGTCAAGTCGGTTATGCATAGTCTTTTGGCCTTCAAGAAGTTCTTTCAACATTTGTTCGGTAGTCGGACCTGGGTTCGATTCGATATCGCCACAAAGTTTCAATAGAGACAGTACTATGTTCCGCACGTACAGGTAACACATGCATAAGCTGGTGGGGCACGTCAGCTGGATAAAGCAAGGATCACTAGTTTTGACACAGGAATACTTGCTACTAACCTGCATAAAGAAAACCAAAGGGTTGGTCATGGCTGTTACAGGCGGCCAGCCGACGTGCCCAATGAAGGAAAGCCGTGATGTTGGGCAGCTTATATAGGCGTCAGTCGATGACGGTGGTAGCGTCCAAGAGTTGAGAACAAGCGATGCCTCTTCTGTGCAGTCGCCGAGATAGATCGGCGCAGCGCCGACGGAATCCACTAGCTTGTTTGATGCATCAGCCGTGAATATCGCCCGTGCCAGAAGCAACTGCGTAAGGAAAACCAAAGGGTAGGTCATGGCTGTTACAGGCGGCCAGCCGACGTGCCCACTATTGCGATACCAATATAATTGGTATCGCAATAATAAAAAAGATTTTTATTGCTAAATAAGTGTATTGGGTAGCCATACCTTCAGTTTCCTTTTTGCATAGTTTGTGCGTTTATTTTTCAAATATTCGTACCGGACCTGCATATAACGAGATCCTCTCTAAAACAAATTTTTCAAAAATTTGTCAATTTCCTTATATCCTGGTTTAACTGTATTTTCAGACAGAGATGTAACTCGCATTATAAACCGCGATGTATTTAGTGAACTGAAAGCATCCAAATTTCACTTGGGATACTTTGGCATGCATATGTTTTAACCCCAGAGTCTATGCCTAGTTGTAATCATAGTAGCACCACTTAGCATATTTTATGAACACCCATTTATTGGGGTACGCAATGAAAACAATGTGCGTCTTCCTGTCCTACACCACCATTTTCACAGCATCTCTTACGTTCAAATGGTTGTCTGCCTATCCTAAGCTAAATTATAAAAACCTTTTACAGCTTGAATAACTTTCCCTAGTTGTGAAACATTCTACCTTCAGCAATTTGCATCACGAAATCGAGAAGTAATCACCACTGCATCGCTGAAGAGCGGGTACACAGCGGGCGCAGATAAGGGCGACAAGCGGCGGCGGTGGAGCAGGCGAGTCCTTGTCGTGACATCACATTGCCGCGACCGCAGCAACGCCAGTGTTCGTTCTTGGGGGTAGTAAGAAGACGACAGGTAGTGAACCACAGGTGCTGTTAGTTTCGGTATTTAGCTGGTCAGGTTACATTAACTCAGTAATTATGAGCTAGGTGATGTCAGGCTAGTATAATTGTGGGATGGGTTATGTTAGCTGTAGTAATTATTGAATTAAGGCACAATGAAAGAGTAAAAACAAAAAAACAAACTTTCGGCAGGTCGGAACTTGCAACCTTTGCATAATGTGTGTAATGGTCTACCAGTTGTGCTGTGCTGGGTTGGCGAGTATACCGTATTTACTCGCATAATCCTCCCAATCTTTTTGCCGGGAAACCGATCAAAAGTTGGGGGGTGCGAGAATTACGTGGGGAAAACTTTCTACGAAAACGTACAGAGCGAAAAAGAAAATGAAGTGGCCGCAAATCGGGATTCTCACACCAACAACTAACAGCAACCTTTATGAAGTACTACTTAAAACTTACCTCAACAATAAAAGCAGAGGTTCAACACAAGACAAGATTTAATTGAGACATAAAAAGTGGAAGCAAATAGTCGTGAATTAGAATACCATACGCAAAGCTTGCGGATGTTGCGGGCGTAGGGGTAGCGTTCGTCGCTCAACAGGAGCCCTCAAGAGGTAAGCGTGGGACGTCAGTATTGGGCTGATGGCTATTTAACAGAATTGTCTGCAGTTTCCTTTTTATGAAATAAAGTTTACCATCAATCCCTAGGGCCTACCGGCGGCCCTGTTGCCGTTCTTTAGTGCATTATCTATCACTTGCAACTTGAAAGCAGCCGTACTGCTTCAGTATCGCCTCATAACTTGACAAGGTTACCGACGCAACATACAAAACACGCCGCAACGCGCACTGGCCACTTCGGCTTGGCTTGAGTTGGATTGAATCTCTGTGCAATAGTACGCTTGATATTTAAGAGATGGCACCAGATGACCTGCGTTATCATCATCAGTGGCTGGAAACAGCAGACGACATTGTTGCAGCAGTTTTCGGGGGTGCGATAATTACTCGAGGAAAAAAAAAACAAATCGTATTTTTGTTGGGTGATGTGGGGGGTGCGAGAATTGTGCGAGTGCGAGGATTACGCGAGTAAATACGGTAACAACCAGTGATTATCTTGCCAGCAACCACGTAAGACTAACCAGTCCACAAAGATCTGCATTGTTGTTGCGATTGATGAGGTGCATTTGTTCTGAGCAGCAGCGGTATGATGACACGTCTCGCCTTCACTCTGTAATGCACAGGTCACACAAAGTTCAGCACGCTGGTACTCCGGCCAACTGCAATGTACGGGGAGGAGGACCAGCATTTTGTGGTGCAGTTTTTGCGCGTTGCCAAGTCCTCCAAGAACACGCTGACCAAGATCCGCAGCGTCGACGAGCGCTTCCAGGTATGCGGGCATAGTGATGCCTTGTTGTCATAGTGTTACTCTTGGAGGATGGTTTGCATGACGTGCGAGAGAAGACTGAGTGGCGAAGCGACATTCCTTGCTGTACACAACGATATAATATCAAGGGAGGATTAGATTAACATTGAGTGTAGTGCTTTATTTGCCAAAACTGTCATATTACTGTTCAGGCATGTCGTTGTGAACTCCAGACTAATTTTGACCACCTGGAGTTCTTGAATGCACCACCTTAGTCTCAGTAGGCGAAAGTCCTTGCGCACTGACAGTACTGTGCTTTGTCTCAGTGCACATTCAAAAACTGCGAGTGGTCGGAGGTTACCGAAAGTCATTCACTACAGCGTCTCTCATAGCCCAAGTATGTTTGGTACATTAAAGGGACACTAAAGTCAAATAACAATTTTGGTCTGAGTGAAAGCTCAATATATGACATCTAAATTGACAATATTATCAACAACAGTGCCCTACTTACCAAGAAATTGAAATAAATGCTCAAGAACACAAGCGCCGCAGTAGGACATTTTCAAAACGATCCTGATGACATCAGAAGGACCGCCTACAATTAATCACTAGTAATCTATCTAACAGCACTAACCTTCCGTACATTGAGGTGCAATAAAATGCTGCTTGTTTGTTTCTGTTTGATTCATAAAAAAAAAAGAACCGCCGGATGTTACTATGGGAAATGGCGCGAACGGTTCAAAAATTCAATTTTTGCGTGGTTACACGGGACATGTGGTGCCATCTAGCGGGGCGGGGGGCAGTTGAAACAAAAATGTCTGCAATTTCGAAGCCAATGGCGGGAAATTGATCAATAGCTGTTGTTGCTGCTGTGGCTCCCGCTGCTTTTGTTCTGCTGCTACTAGCACAGTAAAGCCGAGCAACCTTTTCATGGCAACAGTGACGTGAATCGGCCCGGTCGGTCTGCTTTTTGAGGCAGGTAACTTGAAGTGGGCTAACCCGATGCAGGCCACTAAAGCTTGATTTTATTTCAAAATAGGCCCTTCCTTGGAACAAAAGTAACACTACGAGGTTTTTAGACCGCTGTTTCAACAATCAACGTCGACTTAATAGTTGCCTTTAGTGTCCCTTTAAACCCCGTCAACGTTAACAGAACATTAAACAACTTTGATCTGTACTGATGAACTAGTTTGTAATCATGACATTTCATGAAGCAGCGTACAAAAGGACACAAACCATACACACTAAATATGCAAACACAGACGTTGCACATGCGTAATTTTATGTGCTCGTCGTATTTGTCCTTTTGTGCACTGCTCCTTTAAACAACATGCCAGATAATTTTTTTGTCACTGCAATGACAGGTGACCTATGTGGGAAATGCTGCCCTGGCACATCTGCGAGCCATGGAGAAGCTGGCCGTGGACGAGTCAGTGGCAGGCGAGGTGTTCTACGTGACGGATGACACGCCCCTCGAGGACATGTACGAGTTCCTGCGGCCATTCGTTGAGTGCCAGGGCTGCCGCCTGTCAGACTACACGGTACCCTACCTGCTGGCCATCCTGGTGCTCATGCTGCTTGCACTGGTGCTGCGCCTGGTGCGGCCCCTGTACCGGCCGAAGTCCTACATTCCTCCACCCTCGGCCGTCACCTACATATGCACCTCACTTTTCTTCAACCGCACCAAGGCCACTCTGCGGCTCAACTACTACCCCAACGTGACGCCCGACGAGGCTGTCCAGAGGTCCGTCTCCTACTACAAGTCGCTCCAGTTTCCAGGATGATGTCTCGTCGCTGTTAAGGAGCTGACCACGCCACTTCACACTCTAGCAGTCCCCGCCATGCTTGTATCAGTGCTAACTTGTCATTCCCAAAAGTTCCTGGAAGCGGCTTCGGGGCTCTGTTAATGTGGTAAGAGTGGCGGGCAACCACTGTTTTGTAGGGTAGTGTATTTACGAGCTCGTTCCATTCTTGTTCACGTCAAAGCAGATTGTTTCAGCATGCACACAGCACCCATTCTACGCTTCTGGAATATGCCAGGGCAAAACCACGTCAGAAAAGTACATTTGTGGTTACTTTCTTTAGCAAAACTTCGTAGAAGCTACCCTAGGCATGATACTTGGTCGTGGTGATTCATTCAGGTAGTACAAAACTTCCCTCCATCCCTCCCTAGAGGTGCTGCATGCCTCATAAAGTTTCAATCCAAGAACAAGTTCAACACGTTGTTCTTGAACAGCATCAAGACATCCTGGGTTAACACTTGCACGCTGCTTCATGTCAGCCATGTCTGCAAACCTGTAGCTGTGCAATCGTTTTATATACTCGAGTCAAAGTATCATGCCTGTGGTGCTGCATTCATGTGGTGTTTCACATCAATAACTAGCTACTAATCATACTAAACAATGCAACCTTGCATGATAATAGTTCATTATCATACCTTGACAGCGCCTGATTTGTAGCGCTGGTCTCAGCTCTTTCGTTAGTACAAGTTGTCTGAAGGAGATGATTCTAGGCTATTTTTCTCGCACCAGACTGCTCGTAGCAGCGAGCCACGTGTTCTAACTGCCCTATTACTTAGTAGGATGTCAGCCAACAGCCTTGGTTAAATGTCTGTTACAGTATATTGCCGATTATAAGTCGATCCCCCAACGTGCAACCCTTTCTAGGCAAAAAAAAAAAAATGTTGACTCCGAACACAGCCTCATGCTGCGGCCACAACACACCAGTAAGTCTTTCAAAAACATCGCTTACGACTTGTCGCTTGAAAGAAGGATGCAGCAGTCACAGTCATTTCCATTTTGTGAGCCATTGCTGCTGTTTGCTGTCAGCAGGGGTGCTGCTGATACAGAGATGCTGCACATAAAAAACGCTGCCCGGAGTATGTCGGCTGGAAGTCTGTACCAGGCATCATTAACCCATTGCGCCACTTCACTCAAAGAGCTCGGTTTAAACTCGGCTAGAGGGATGCGCATATTATTCACAACAGTATGTGCTTTTGCTTCAATAACATCATAGAAAAACACTCGGGCTTTTGCTTTTCTGGTCGTGAACCCAGTCTCGAACCGCCTCATCAGCAGTGGGGTATCGTCCAGACTTCAGTCCACGTAAAGAACGGGGTGTCGCAGTGTACGCGGATATCTTGGTCCTTTGCTTTGTCCATTCCCTCACGTACTTTTCCGACTCATCGAACCTCTGCCCTGCTTCAGCATTGCTTGTCGACACTGCATAGAAGATCACTTGCTGCTTGAAAGCAACGCTGTACTGTTGCCAGTGTAGCAGTGGCATCTTGGCATCTGTTGAGCAGCTTCGCAAATTGTGTACACCATCGTTCACTAGCGAGGCGAAATGCAGAAATGGCGAACAGGCATGAGTGCAAAAAAAGTTTAATTTGAGGAAACTCTATGGGCAAAAAGACGTGAAGACGCTTTTGGGCGCATGCGTGGGCCACAGGCGACTGGTCATGTGGTTTAGTTCCCTGCAAAGTGTTGCCAGCCCACACGGTGCTGCCAGCTTTTCTCTGAGACACCTATGGGGCTTAGCGGGAAATCTGAATTTTTTAATTGACTTGTCAGCAAGTGCTGTTAGGGCACACTGTCCACTAAAGTGAGAAATGCATGTGATGTCTTTCGCGAACGATAGACCTCATGTTTTTTGCAAGCAAGAGATGCATGTCGAGGTTCTCACGACAGAGAAACGCATGTCACATTGTTAGCAAGCAATAAAGGCACGTCGCGTTTCTTCGTGAGCCAATTGCACTGTCATAACCATAAACGGCTAGTGCCAGTGTTGTTGCCGATCTCTCACGACAGACACGCTGATGCGATGGCACCATCATTGAAACGGTGATGCAGTCGGCGACGAATCATAAAAAAATGCTGTATCTCCAACACGTCGTTGTTGACACCTCCCACCATAGATAGCTCTATCGTAGTTTCGCGATCGTCATGGCAGATCGTAAAAATGTCTGGCTCCGGAAGTGGCGTGCACGAGTTGGGAGATAGCAGTTGTCGCAACTCCGTTGCCTCTGCAGCTGATGCTATCGATGTGTCGAATAGCAGTGAATCCGAGGACGACAAACATTCATCAGACCCCTCAGAAAAGTCGACTTTATGATTCCTAGTCGACTTTACGATTTCGCGTATAGGTCGACTCTGATTATAGGTTGACCCCCGTACTGAAAAAAAGGTCGACTTATGATTGGCAATATACAGTAAGGCGAGAACTGCCATCAGTGCCACGTTACCTCAAATACATGCTGAAGAGCGCACATGACCGTGATCTCAGCCACTCTGGCTGCGAAAAAGCGAGGCCAACAGTTCGTCAAGAAATCTTCTACAAATCTTGCTGCACGTAACCAGTGCTCTTTTCTCAGTCAGAACGTTGTACTTGTTGATGATGCTTGTCACTGGCTGGATGACCTGAAAGCTGTCATGTTGCTCAATTGTGAGACATTCAACTCTTGTCTGCCAGCAGCTTGCTCGCTTTTATTTTTCTCTGTACTTCCAGAAAATACCCCTAGCTACCCCCGTTGAATGCCCTCAATGAGAGCACCCGCTGCTCAAGTTGTATTTTCTCGAGGCATTTAGTAGTTTAGGTGTTTGTGTTACATGCCAAGAACATCCTGGTTGCTCATGTCTATCATTTTTTAACATCGGTCATCATGCTTTGAGTACAGCTTTGGTGGGAAGTGTGCACTGACATTGCTGTGTTTTTCATGATTGTGTATATCTGGTATGGTGAATGGTCAAATTTTGTCATTGTTAGTACACGTGTGTTTAATTCGTAGCTACACTGCGGAAGCCATGCCTAAGACTGGCACGGACCACAATATTGCTTTGCAATAACGAAGTCACGTCCGGCACAGAAGTACCTTCATTAAGGGGAGATGTGGTGATGAAAACTACTATGGTTATTTATTGAAATAAAGTGATCATGAAGGTGTCATTGGTTGTGCTTTTATCATAACTGAAATCGGTCTTGAGCTATCTAACTTGAGTTACAACACTTAATGGACTCTTATTGTCATCTCATTTATAGAAAAATTGAACATTCTGACCAAATTTACCATTCCATTTGCCACGTCCCTCCTAAGTATCAGTGCACCCACCCACTGATATCGATAAGGCTCAATCACGCATAGCAAAACTGCAGCAAGAAGCATTGCACTTTGGACAGGACAGTGACGGATCCACGAGTTTCGATGACCCACGAGTTGTTTGCTATGCACTTAAACAACTTTTATAAACTTATACCAATGTTCATGTAACACTTTTCATCATGCGCAGGCCCAACCTCGATTAGGCTCAATTCGAATCAGGTGCCACTTTAATTCGTGATAAGGCCTTGTTGAGCTCGAGGGGATTGTGATGCGCACATTGTGATTGGGAATTTAGGTGGTGCCTGCATCAAATTCAGTGATGATTACTTTCGGCAGTGTAGTGGCAAAGATCGTTGATCTCAATCCAGAAACCTTATTTGGATCTGCTGTGGTCATGATCAAGTGCACTTGCGTGACACAGGTGTTAAATTACCAACACGTTTCGCATACTGTCACTCCAATGCGTTCTCCGAATCGTATGGAATTGGCACATTGAGTTGGCCGGGTGAATGCCCGTCAATACAGAGCAAGTAACTAAACATACAAGCACATTTGGAATGTGTTATTTTAGACTGTTCTAGCTGACAGTTGACGCACGATGTGAGCGCAAGGGTATGCACACAAGCTGTGGGCTAACGTTTCGCTGCCACAATTAACGCTAGATATGAGCGCACAACCGCTTGTTTTACTGTAGCCAGCATCGACTCTGATCTAACATTTTTGGTTTGAATGCAGCTGCAGAATGTTGACTGAATAAAAGTATAACCTGCGAAATCTTTTTACTTGCTTCTTTTTGTCTAGAAGTTTTTAACCTCAATATTTGTTGTATTGAGGTCTGGCTTGATTTTCTGAAGATTGTAGAAACACTGTCGTGGTTCTCGTAGATTATCTTGTTGCATTGGTGCTGGGAGTTTTAATGTTGGCTTCACCTGGCAGTTACATCTGATTGAGTCACACCCTCGTGTATTGAATGGTCGTCTTCTCTCTTTCAATGTAGTCTATGTTCGTGGAGTGACCATTCATTGTGGTGCTATTTTAATGTTTTTGTAGATTGCATACATGCATTTGTACATGTACACAAGTTTAAGGTGGAAGGTACATGACATAGGGGCAGGGTCTGCACAAATCTCTTTTTGTTATTATTTATCAGCTCAAGAAGAGGCTGGACCTCCCTGGGTGTGCTGTCCCATCATAGTAGACCACAGCATCATACTATTTGAACTGTAGGCAGGGTGTGCCATCTTATTCTGCACATTCGTCAATCATGCTAATATTTCGTGCGGCCATCATGTTGTAACCTACGCTGTCTCAAAGTACCATACAAACTATGTCCGGTGCCTCCTCGAATAACGCCGTACTTTCTCGCGCATAGCCTGCCTCTGCACACGATTCACACCCTCCAACAGTGAACTGTGGGATCCCACATATACCTCTCTTCGAATTACTGCCGTGAAGCCAACTTGTTAACCTAACTTTTTGTATGACCTGTATGCCAGCTCTATCTCCGAACTATCCGTATATTTCATGCAGGTTATTCATGAGAATAAATATATATGTGCAGATTGGTTTAATGTGTGCTCAAGGTAAAAGTTAAGGCTGTGCATGAGCCCGTACCAACTTTGTGCAAACATTTATTAATGCTTATATGTAGGTTCGCTCATGTGGGACCAATGGATTTCTGAAGTCTAGTTAGTGAAAAATATGGTCAAAGCAGACTTTAGTATAGAGATTTGTTAACTGTGATTCACGAAAATGCACTGTTTTCTTTTATATGTTCTTCATTCCATACTATACGAATTGTTTCATAAGGATCTTTTTTTTTTTTTTTGTAGATGGCATTTCGCACAAGAAAACAGACAAGAAGGAAGAGAGCACAGACAGTTGCAGTCTGTGCTCTCTTCATTTTTGTCTGTTTTTATTACTTTTTTGTGCAAAATACCATCCACAATCGAATATACGAACTTGCCCAACGGTCGTTTTTTTTTTCTACGTTATTTCCCTCGGTGACCCGTGCTTTTGGACGAGTGTACAACTTCGTGCCGGTGTCTCTTGACGCAAGAGCCAATTTTTTTATGAACAAGCTCGTATACTGAATGATGGAATGCAGTATTCTTCAATAAAAGTTATTTTTCTGAATCACTGTGCCCATGTGTGCCTCAACTTGCTTTAATAAATGGCTCAATGTTTCCCTCTGCACGCCATTGCAGTAATTTAAAGCCAAACTGCGGTCATTGTTTGGATGCCAAGCATGTTGGTACGTTCATTTAACTAAGTGAGCTCATATTGAAAGAATTATACAGGATGTGCGTCACAAAGCACGTAGCTAACTCCCCTTGCGCCATCATGTAAAATTATATGTAAACAGGTAATAACTGATAAAGATGCCTATTACTCATAATTGCATGGAAGAAGAGCATCTAATAATTCAGTTGGTAGGAGTGCCAATAGTCCAAAGCATGTGCGCTTTGCATACTGAATTAAGGCACTGTTACAAAGGCAGTTGATCCTGATGTATAGTCGAACAACGCGTCAGAGTAGCTTCCAGGTAGGTCGCATTAGAATTTATACAGGCACGCCACCTCCGCCGGTATATAAAATAAACAGTGTGGTATATACTCAATGAAAAATTAATTTGACACCTAAAGCAACTACACAGCACTTCCCTGTGTTGCTTACAACCACAGAAATATTTAGTTTTGCCTGCAGAACCGTGGTGCCCTTGTGAAAGGCAGTTGGGCTTGCTGGTTGCCACCTGAACCACAAGTACACTTTTTTCGCTAATATAAGTATTACCCATATTGAGAGTTGAATATACATCGGTGCAACCTAAAACATTGTGTTTGAGTTGTGATGTCAAAATCCCAGAAGAACTTTACCAGGATGCATTTTCAACTGAAACCTGGCTACTCATACCTATGTCTTTAAAGGTACACTAAGGAGCGACTTGGTTTAGATTGACCAACTGCACTCTGTCAACTGTAATGCCATAAGTATTGCTATCATAAATTTGCTATTAGTCGAGAAAATCAAGGTTGATGTTTTATTTTTAAATTTCGTGCCGAAATTTCCACACATGATGTTGAAAATTTCAAAATGTATTTTTTGAATTTTCGCAACATTGGATCGATGAAATTTTCTGAAACTTCATGTGCTATGTCTATGGCACCCACAAATGGCAATGTACTCCATTTTCATCGATTAGAAGCTATATAAGACACAGTTGATGCTTTCGAAATCTACGGCGTCACGGTGTTTGCTGCGGGAATTTCAGGGTGGCGCCTCTACCTGCATTTTCTTTTCGCATGTTTTCTACTTTACAAAGCATTGTCTTGTGGTAAGAGCGGTGTTTTCGGAATCTTGAAATTTTACTTTACTAATACGCGAAAAATTGTTTTGCCCTTTAGTGTCCCTTTTAAAGAAAGAAAAAGGGGTTAGCTATCTGAAACATGTGACATGAAAATAAGTAAAAAGTGTTGATTGGAGCTCTTGCAATTGTCAGGAGAGAAGGGAAGTTGACGCTTGTGGTGCTTTTATAAGTGCGCAATACCTTGGGGCCCCGGCTCCTCGTCCACTGATGGATCTCGTGTGCCGAGGTCATGCTCATTGAAATGCTCTATATAGGCCTACAACGTAGCAAGCAATGCTCAAAACCAGGCTTAAATGAATGAATGAGATGTAAAGCATTGTAATTAACAGTAATAACCAATAATTAATTGCAATAATAAATTTAAAATTGCTTAAAATGTTTCAGGCACAAGCTTTTTACTCCAGCACTGTACGACAGGGGGTGCCACTGTCCCACAGAGCACACGATTTCTCCTCCCACCTGCACTTCCCCGGCAACTCGGTCGCTACATCTGAAGAGGAAAACAACCTGACGGTACTCTCTGTAGACGACAGTGTCTCGATCGCTATAACAAGCAGTAAGTCTGTAAAGCACATCAAAAAGTAGCGTACACGTTGCACACCAAGTTTATGAATCTCCCCAAGAAGACTGCCTGTGCTGGGAAAACCCTACATGTTTATTTTAAACATTAACGTCATCGACGGTTTGGTAAATATAGGAGCCGAAACTCTACAAATGGAAACCACTGCGTGACTTCCTCAGGGTTCAATGATTTTTTTTAAGAGCGATGCCCACTTCAACTGAAACCAAGAAACACAGTTTCTTGCTACTGACTATACGAGGCCTGCTACAACAATTTTTAAGCGATGAGCTTACACCACGACAATACTTTGAATCAATATTCAGGAGTAACATTTTGATTTGGCTCTTATAGATAGAGTAGAATCTCAAAAATTTAAACAATGATAATTTATACTTTCGGTTTATTCAAACAAAATTCAATTTTTTGGTTGGCCCTCTATTCTTTCAATGTATTTAAAGGCCTCTTAATTTATACTCAATCGTTCAGTTAATCCATACTTTTTGCAGTTCCATACCAAAAATTGTCTGCTGCTTTCCCACTATCATTTAAAACTTTGTGTGCTTATATAATCCTAACAGTCTAAAAATGAAAAGTTAATGTCTCAGGCCTTCAAAAAAAAAAGGCTTTGCTAGTAAACAAATGTATGAAACAAAGCACGCGCATGGTAAACCGTGATGCTTCTCATCTGGTATAGAGCTAGAGCTTTGTGCTGAAGGCACATAGTACCAATAGCAATGAAGCAGTTGGCGATTAATTCACGGTTTCTTTAGAAGGTCTGATCAGCACTAAACGACCAATAAACTTGTAGACCTTGCATCTCTGCTTTCTGTTCATTGTGTGCAGTTAGAGTTTAAAATTCTTGAAAAAATTTTAACTGTGATAAAATCAATGTCTAATCATAATTTATGGTGTAACCTCACCCAGAATCATCTGTCTGAGAACTTCTGATAATTCAAACAAAATTTAGAGGTCCCTTCAAGTTTGAATTAACGAGAGTTGACTGTAGAAACATTCCTTTTGGGCTTGAAGTAGTTCGTGAATGAGGTCGAAATCACATCAAACAAATGATATGGGAATATTTGCTGCAAAGTTAACACTACGTATCTACGAGCCTTTGTTGATGCTGTCCTTTCCTGCATGGCTGTAATGGCAATGACTTGTAGAGTGAGTGGTCCTTCTAGGCAAATGGCGCACAATTTTATTGTTATTGGCATATACTGAAGGCCTTCAAAAGCTGCTTCAGCACTTCTTCTTTCCTTAATGTATGCCGCACCACTTTGGTTCACTTCTTGTTCTTCGAGTAACAGATCGGTGCCAAATATGCTCCGTCCAATTCATTTTTATTGAAAATATACTGTCTTCGAGCTACATTTGGCAAAACTAAAAAAAAAAAAAACACTGAAATGCAGAAAGAAGTAGGAAACCCGGCTCCGTACTCTTCACATTCAAGCTTTGCACTACAACACATATAACTACAGAGAAAAACAAGGAAAATAATTGTCCTAGAAAAACTAATTGCAGAACAAAACAGGACAGAAAATCTTTATTGATACAGAGAGTATTATAATAGGAGAGCCTTAGTCGAGTACCCCACCGGCTTAGGCTGCCCATTCAACCTGAGATGCCTTTCTGCAATGAAACACTGCCGCCATAATGACCAATCATCTAGTGGTGCGGAACGAAAGAACGGTAGGACACAAATGAAACAGATTGGATGGGGCCATGTTGGTCGTTTTGGGCACAATTCTTAACACAGTGATGATTCAATGAATCTCCATGGCTTAGTTTGAATCAGACAGATGGGGGATTTGGCTCATTTTTCATTCCAAGCCTAGTTTTGGAGTTCACACTATAATCAGAAATGCCGTATTTTATTGCTAATTACGACTGTTAAATATACTTATGTACACTTTACATTCCCTCCCTTTTTAGTAACCCGGTCTCAGTTTTTCGTCTAACGTAAATGGTCAACATTAACTTTGCATTCAATACTGTATAGAACAGCTTATTGAAATTAAGTTGAAAAATAAATGCATGTTAAACATTAATTGTGTTTATCCATGGAGCACACACACTTTGGCAAAGCTATATGTGCAATGCCAAGAAAGCAACATTACTTTGTTGTACATAACATAGAGGTGTTTAGAAAAGCTAAACTTCTTTTATTACAGACAGTTCACATCAGTAATATTACAACAGGTCATTTTCCTGTTGTGTGTGTTTAGATTAAATTGTGAACACTAGAGCACAATACAGGCACTCTACTATAGGAGAGCCACTAGCTGTCCCGGTCAGCATGCTTCAAGGTGTGTTTAAATAAAGGTGGTTAACGATTTAGAGTACTTGGTACTCTACTATGGGAGACCTGAAAGCCGTCCCTGGCTGCATCGACAATAATTACTCTCGGGCGGGCTGTACGTGGTTGAGCCGACCCATTGTGTACGACAAATTTAGGTGCAGTTGTCAAATAGGAATTGACGCGCTGCCCGGAGGCAGTTTGTCCCAGAGTCTCCCGTAACTCAGCAACCCATAATCATCCGTACGTCCATCCCGGCACTTCCTCCCTCCCAGGGTCTGGTGAGAAGGAAGGTTTGTTGGGCCGGTTCACGCTGGAGGCAAGCATGCCTCACTGTTTGACGCTCGCAGGCAGCCGTGCGCGGCTGTTTGCTTCGCGCACGTGTGCCGTTTTTCGCCGTTCAAAAAATGGGTCCGAGACCCATTTTTGTGCCGTTTAGCCATCAGCGTGGTGGTTTAGCCAATCAGCGACGGAGGAGCGACATGGCTGGGATGTGGCTATAAGAGGGAAAAGAAGAGAAAAGTGAGCCCCGTAACTGTCTGCATCAGGGTGCGACACCTCAACAGTAGCTCACAGGAAATGGGGGTGAGTAGGGATTCAAAGGATAGAAGTAAAGATGTAGAGAGAGAGAGATGCGCTGAGCCAGCGAGCGAGGACATATCGAGGGGATAGGTGAGATAGGAAAGATGGAAACACGGTCACAGGAGTCCGAGGACGGGGCACCACTTGCGAGAGCTCTTGTCAGCGTCAGGAGGTGGCGTAGGGCAAGTTCAGTAGGTCAGAGCTACGCTGTCGTCGGGGGTCGGCGTCAGGAGATGACGAAGGGCCAGCCCAGTCGGCCAGAGCTACGCTGACGTCGGAGATCGCGAGGGCATAACCGGTCGGCACGGAATCCAGCGAGCGAGTTTCGAGCGACATGGCTGAGCCGCGTCGTCTGCTTTCGCCTTTCCGCATTGTCTGCGTCTGCCATGGAGGAAGGAAAGGGGGAAAGGCGAAAGGAATCTTTCCTTCCTCCGTGGCGTCTGCCATGGGACACTTCGAGCTGCCTTGCTCCGCGGTTTTGAATAGCGCATTTTCGCCTGTTCGGTATTAAAAAAAAAAAAACGCACAATTGAAAATGACGTCCCCAAAGCAGGCGTTTGGACAAGTGGCGCCAGTGATGCAACGTTATAGCAATAACAAACATGTAATGTATGCCCTCCGAGTTTCGGGAAGGCGTGCTTAGGCTTAGAACATCAATTATTTGAGTATGGTTCTCAAAAATGGTGCCGAATCGATTCGAGTACTGTGTTGTAAAAGTTAAAGGACATGAGTCTAATGCAAATGGAAGCATTAGTTCGTAGTTTACGAGCTACAGAGCGCACGGAGGTTGCTTGATAGATTCGAGGCGGTCGACAACTGCATTCGGAAGGTCTGCCATGTTTGTCGGAGTAGCTTGCCGTGCAAATCGAACAGTTCTCCTGCGGGCGGCGCCGGTCTACGGCAGGCTTGCCGCTAGCGTGAACCAGAGGTTTTTAGTTTGACGTTTTTACGCTGCGCTTAGCAGCTAAGCGGAGCGGGAACGCGAGTGCGCATGCGCCCTCCGCTAAGGCCTTAAGCGGGTTATTGGAGCGGGGAATACGGTCCGCCTACGTTACGAGCAGCCTAAGCGGAGCGCGGTGCGCCGCTGCCGTTTTTGCAAGCGGAAGGGCGACAACCCGCGCGCCCTCTCTCGTGCGTGCAGCAACTTTGCTCATTTCAAGATGGCTTCCTCCGGAGTCGGCACGCTTTCCGCGAGTGTTGCAGCTTCGCCGTCACCTGCCCAGTGCAAGCCGCGAAAACACAGTTTCAACGGTGAAAAATAAAAACGCCGCCACCACACACGCGTAAAATGCGCAAGCAACACACAGTGAATGTTTGCAACGGATCTGGAACGGAACCTTGCTGGCTTTTGAGCGGCTACTATCAAGTCAGAGCTTGCTTCTTTGTCAAAAAAATAGGCGGTTGATACATTGAAAGTGGATATCTAAATACTTCATGAAAAGATCATTTATACGTTATTGTTTTGCTTTGAATACGTGAAAAATGTTTTTTTTATTTTGTTTACCGGCGATGAAAACGACCAGAGGGCGCTGCAACTGCGAAAGGCCCAGATGGCATTCCAATTAGGCTGATAATGACATTAGGTCCGAAGTCTAAGCAGGCTTTGAGAGAGGCAGTGAGCACAATAATAATCGATGGTGAAGTTCCCGATGGATGGAAACTTAGCAGGATGAGCATGATCTATAAAGGAAAGGGGGACAAAGCTGACATAAACAACTACCGTCCTATAACAGTGACATCAGTGGTCTACAGGCTGGCGATGCAGATTATAAAGGAAAGACTGCATGTGGATAGAGGATGAGGGGGTGCTGGGGGAACTGCAGAATGGATTTCGGAAACACAGGAGGTTGGAAGACAATCTGTTCTCACTGACGCAGTGCATCGAAATAGCAGAAAAGGAACACAGGCCCCTGTGGCTAGCATTTTTGGATATCAAGGGAGCGTACGATAGCGTGGTTCAAGAGGAATTGTGGGGAATACTGGACACACTAGGCGTGGAACATGTAGTCACTAATCTTTTAAAGGGTATCTATAAAGGTAACAAGGTAGTTATAAAGTGGGAAAAACAGGTATCGAAGCCTGCAGAGGTAAAACGGGGGCTTAGGCAGGGGTGCCCCCTGTCACCCTTATTATTCATGATGGACCTACAAGGATTAGAGGCAAAATTAGAGGGAAGTGGACTGGGCTTCAACCTCTCTTTAGTCAAACAAGGAAAACTTATTGATCAGGCACTACCAGCATTAATGTACGCAGATGATATAGTGCTAATGGCCAACAACAAGGAAGATTTGCAGAGATTGATGGACATCTGCGGTAATGAGGGAGATAGGTTAGATTTCAGCTTCAGTAAGGAAAAATCAGCAGTCATGATTTTCAATGACAACGAAGGTAGTGAGCTTAGAATACAGGAGGTCACGCTAGAGATAACAGATAAATACAAATATCTGGGCGTATGGATAAGCAATGGGACCGAGTATCTGAGGGAACACGAAATATACGTGACGACTAAAGGTAACAGGAATGCAGCAGTCATAAAAAATAGGGCACTGTGGAATTACAATAGGTATGATGTTGTTAGAGGAATATGGAAAGGGGTCATGGTTCCTGGGCTGACGTTCGGCAATGCGGTCTTGTGCATGAGATCAGAAGTTCAAGCAAGATTAGAAATTAAGCAACGTAGAATAGGTAGGCTTGCTTTAGGAGCTCACGGGAATACACCAAATCAGGGAGCTACAAGGTGATATGGGATGGACATCATTTGAGGGCAGGGAAGCTAGCAGCAAGATAAAATTTGAGAAGCGATTGAGAGAAATGGGGGAAGAGCATTGGGCTAGGAAGGTTTTCAGCTACTTGTACATGAAGAATGTCGATACAAAATGGAGGAAGCGAAGCAGGAAGTTGACTGGTAAATACTTAGAAAACAGCAGGTGGCCAAACCAAAAAGAACTATCGGTTAAGAAGAAAGTGAAGAAAACGGAGACTGACATGTGGAGAATGGGCATGATTAAGAAGTCCGCACTAGAGGTCTATCGAACGTTTAAGCAGGAAATTGCCAAGGAAAGGATCTATGATAATACTCGGGGTAGTTCTCTACTGTTTGAAGCCAGAACGGGAGTACTGCGAACCAAGACATATCGGGCCAAATACGAGGGGGTAGACACAGTATGCAGTGCGTGTGGAGAGGAAGAAGAAACTGCCGAACACTTGATAATGTTCTGTAAAGGGCTTCACCCTATAGTTCAGGATGGTGGCGCAGAGTTTTTCAAAGCACTGGGGTTTAGGGACCGGGAGGGCAAAATAAACTTTAAGCGGGTAGACTTCACTAGAAGGAGGTTGTCTGATTGGTGGCTAAAGTCAAGGCGCGAGTGAAAATTAAACTCTTCACTGCAAAGTACGAATCCTCAAACTCTTTTTTTAAGGAAGAAAAAATAAATATAGTTTTTGGTTCATTATATATTACGGCTTGGTGGCGCTAGCCACCGCCCGATTTAAAGGGTACAGCCATATCCATCCATCCATCCATCGTCCGCTTCGCTGCCGGCAACGAATAACTAAAAGAGGAAAATCGGCCGCCGCTCCGCTGCGGCTTCGCGGGTGCTCCCGGACCGGAGCGGACCACAAAAACGACAAACTAAAAACGAAGGGGCTGCCCTTCAGCGCGGTAACTTCAGTCACCGCCTACAATGTGGGCGTACCCAGAAATTGTCGCACAGCTCAGAGCCGGTTACGTCCCCACCCCCCTCCGGATGAATGGGCTATCGCTCGGAGCAAGGTGCTTACGTTGAAAAAGTGTTTAACGATTTAGAGTATTTCGTATTTACCTATGGTAGAGCATTAAGCCATCCCGTAACGATAAAAAAAAAAGTCAGATGCAGCAAAGATTGCGAAAAAGCCTGCTGTGTATTTAGATAAAGTGGTTAACGATTTTGAGTACTTGGTACTCTGCTATGGGAAAGCGTAGAGCCGTCCCGTTTTCAACCAGGAAATGACCATAGCAAGGGGGGGGGGGGGGGATTAGAAAAAGGGGGTAACGATTTAGAGTACAGGCACAGAACACCTACCAGTTTGTACAGGGTACTCTACTATGGGAGAGCACTGAGCCGTCCCGGCTTGAACACAAACGAGACACGAATCGTTATGGCATAGTGCCACCACAGAACACCTACTAGTTTAGAACCGATGTAAAAGCGTCATGCAAGTAACTTACTAGCGTTATTGCAGAGCCCTATGAAGAAGTCAGATTATATTAGCTAAGCTTTGCATATTTATATAGTTTATAACTTAGAGTTTGCTTTGAATATCTCTGTTTAGAAGATGTTACTTCTATTGGAATGTTTCTTTTAATACAATGTCATAAATAGAATATTATTCAAGCAAAGAACATGCTTGAATTTTACTGAAAACTTGGAGCTTGTCCACGTGACGTGTAATGACGACTATTTCAAAGTTCGCGGTCTTTCTCGGGTTGTCATAAGTGCTAAAACAAAAGAAATGTTTTTCTGTAAAAACAAGTATTTTTACATAAAACGAGTACTTAGTGACGTAAGTTAAAAACAAATAAGAACTATTTACTTTAAATTTTTTAATTCTAAATTTTAAAGCTGAAGGTTGCTGTATGTTGATCGCGCGTTTTAGGGCGCCGTAAGCAAAACACGTGACCGCACGTTTCTCCGCACGGACCACCACCGGTCAACGAAGGAATATTCTGTCATGGTTTAGTATTACTTCACGGAATTTATCGCTTCGCGTGTGATTGCGCGGGCGGACTTTCGGCAAGTGCATCGCGAGACAATGACGCTCTTCTACTTGCCCGGCACCGCCAGTCTACTGGAAGAACTGGACAAGAAGCTTCTCGTTTTCCTACGCGACGGGCGCACCCTGATCGGCTACCTACGGAGCATCGACCAGTTCGCAAACTTGGTGCTGCACCAGACCGTCGAGAGGATACACGTGGGCAGGCAGTACGGAGACATTCCGCGCGGCGTATTCGTCATACGCGGCGACAACGTCGTTCTGCTCGGCGAGATCGACGAGGACAAGGAGAAGGACGCCGACCTCGAAGAAGTGAGCGTCGAAGACATTCTCGAGGTGCAGCGCATCGAGGCGGACGCCAAGCAGGAGCTGGAGATGCAGAGGGCCAAGGCCATGAAGGACCGGGGGCTGCACTATCACCACGAGATCACTCACGACGATTACTGACGACGTGCATGTGCGCGCGCTCGTAGACACCGCAAGCGTGTGGTTGTGCGCGTCCAAGAACGTTTCGTTGCGATGTATAAATGAGAACACGCTAGTTTATTCATTTTTATTCGGTACTCACGAACGACAGGAAACGTTTGTTGCTTAACGTGGCGCGATAGTTTCGTTTTTGCGTGAATAAAAATTTTTCACACACTCACGGGCACTTGTCTTCGTTGTGTTTGACAGGAAAGTAGTGCCGCTCTGTGGTGCTGCGAGTGCGAGCATTGGTTTCGTGGCCACCCACTTATCGGCCGTTGACCCTTCATCTTGCCGAGTGTCAAAGTCTGAACGGACATCGTTGTCACAGGAGATAGAGAACTAGCCGTTCAGTCCGCTGCCTGTTTCCGTAGCCGCTTGCACGATGACAGATGAGCAGGTTGCGGGATAACGACGATGCCATGGTCATCGCCATCAACGCCGGACCGAGTTTTTGCGGATGTATGCGTGCGGCCTGCTGCTGAATTTCCCTGCTGCTGTGCTCGTCGTGTAGGGTGTCCCCGCTGGCGGCAACGCCGCGGTTGGCGGTGACATAAGGCGATACCCGATGCCCCCATGTTCACGTACCGTCCTACTGGCGATACGCTGTCATTCGCTGCCAAGCGCGATCGTCCGATGACAGCGGCCGACGATGTCCGTCGTCAGGAAAAAGTCGACCGTCGACCCGAAAAGCATCGGCCCTTCGCTCTGCGTTACAGAACTCGTACAGGTAAATTCGCCCGAGTCCCCCTTTTAGGCGGGAGCGGTCCAATTCCTTAGGCGCTGTAGGAAGGTTGGCGTGTCCGGAGTGGCGCGCTGATACAGCGCGGCACGAGATGTCTGACATCTGCGTGTTTGGTGTCGCATTTCAGTTGACTCAGCTGGGCATTCCGTTGGAGCATGTGACATGGCCGCGTGTCACGATCACCCCGAGCCAGTGGCTCTGCATTCGCCACACCATGACCTGTCGAAAGTGAGTTTTGGCGCGGCTGGGCCGCTGGCGCAGCTCACGAGCGCGGTAAGATCTGTCCGAGAAGCGCGCGCTGCCTGTTCACGCCCCCCAGTGTGCACGACGTTCTCTCCATGCCAGGTGCTTGGCATGTTCACGTCTGAAAGCACTGCCTGCTCAAATAAGCGAAAATGATTTTACCGTATAATGGGAGTCGCACAGCTATGCCGAGTCCCGCCGCTCGTACGCCTTCCCGCATACATGACATACCACATTTGGCATCTTAGATTCGTGTGATATCGATGAATACCCCGTTGACACACCCTCTAAAAGCAAAGAATTCGCGTTGACGCCACCGTAACTTCTGATATGACAGCAGTATCAAGCGGTTGTTTCATAAAGCGCAATGGTATTCAAACTGGTCAATATAAAACCGTGGCTTGGGGGAGGAGGGGGTGATAAACCAGGCTCGCACAACAACCCCTGTGGCTTCTTATTTACTTCCTGTCTCATAAGCTTGCATCCAGTTAGTTTGAAATTTTCATTGACTATGTGGGGAACATATGTCTCCTAATTTTCTCCTATATAAACAAATGTCTCCTATATGTCTACAGATTGCAGAGCTTAATCGTTGTTCATTTGAGGTGTAGTATCAAATAAGGTTTTGCCAAGCACGTAGTTCCTAGAATCCTGTTATCACTGCCCTACTGCAAAAGCAGAGGCAACGACGTTAAACTGGAGGGAAACAGGGAGTCAAGGAGGCTAACCACAGAAAAATTTGGTATGCCACGCTAAACTGTGCAATGGGAAGGGAGGAGGGGGCAGGCAGGATTCAGCAGAAACACGAGAGTAACGTGCAAGCGAGAAAAAAAAGGAGTAAAGGCACACCATAAAGGTTGCTCATGATTGCAGCCTGCTCTCACCACACAGTAACACTTGTTTGTCACAGAGAAAATCAATAGTATAGCCTGCATGCACCTCTCCACATAATAATTCTTGAAAACTGCAACAGTGCCTCCGTAGCGCCCGGCTGCAATGGCATATGTGACTGACTTTCCAAAATTATTTCCTCTCACATCGATCTGTGGTGTTTCTCTCTGCTTAGTCAGCAATAACAGTAGTCAATGTCCTTGAACTGAAGTGTGTGAAAATGTACATTGACGCGAATCTAGCTAGAAGCTGGGTTATTGAAGTATATTCAAGTCAGCCAGAACTAGGGGTGTGACACTTCAATGTTATTTGCTCCAGCGCTTCGAGCAGTGCCGATCGGTGCTCCGTGGTGACTGTGTTCAACCCACAGAGGTCTGCGCCTCAGACTTACAAAGTCGAGGCACGCTGTGCCAAGCTGAACCCAGACAAGCCTTTATTAGCCATCACAGGTAAGCGATGCATCAGTGCAATATGGGACTGTGGGAATTTAGTTAGTCAAGATTAATTAAAGTGGTGCTTAAAGACTATTCAGTCTAAGGAAACATCTGATGAACCCCGGTTCAGTAAAACCGGCATAGTGTCATGGCAGCATAACCGGACAACTGGAGAGATTATCAAGGCTTGGCACATACAAAAAGAAAAAGAATCATGCATCAGCCTGTGGTCTGTAGCCTTGTAAAATACATAAATCTTATACTTGAATGGGTAGAGATACTGTTGTTTTTGTGTAAATTTATTGGTTGCTCACACTGGTTGTCATATGTCTATGTACGGGTTTGTTATCTGTGTGAAGCCACGCGTGAGTTTATGTTCTGCGCATGCGAGTAAAAGTTCAATTGAGAGTCGGCAATTGTGTTTCGTGTTCCCTTTTTTATGAGCATTCGTCTTACCTCATGGCACCGTTTCAGTAGTATGAATCTAATGAAGTCCTTGAAACAAGCGAAGCAACGAAAAATTCATGCTACATCAAATGGCACTGCAAAGGACGAGGCAGGAAGCATTTGCAAAAAAAAAAAAAAAAAAGATAAGGATGACATCACCTCTTCAGATTTGGGTGCACGTTAAAGAACCCCAGGTGGTCGAAATTTCCGGAGCCCTCCTCTACGGCGTCTCTCATAATCATAAGGTGGTTTTGGGACGTTAAACCCCACATATCAATCAATGATGACATCACCTCTGGTGCTTCAGCCGTCAGTGGTGACAATTCTCTGTATAAATTGCTGATAATGGCACTGCTTGGAAACTGAATCCTGAGAACACTCGGGAATCGGTCATATACTTTTGCGAACATAGCAGCAGTTTGGGACTGTGTAATGTAATGAAGCCATTCCTGTACTACTGTTCCTTTTCATTCTCTGGTCAGTGGCACCACTTGTGTTATATCAGTCTGTTATCTTTTCTAAATGATAAACAGGACATAGAATTATTTGAAAAAATTAATTGTGTTATACTGGCTTTAGTTTTGAATATTCTGTTGCCTCATGCTTACCTGGAACACAGAAATTAAATAAATAACAATAAAACACTTCTGTTTAGGTGCATGCAGTGATGTAACTGTTGCTCCAAAAGAGAAAGGCTGCTTCAAAGTCTATTTTTGTAAGTAACTACTCAGAACTTGCTCCAATATGGAGCTGGCAATTTTTTTTTATTGCCTGACCGTTCAGCGAGCCTAAGCAAAACAAACAAATAATTAAGTATTCATATTTATAAGATGCTTAAATGACACTTTAAACACCACAAGACGTTTAGAACATGTTGCCATCTGCTCCGAAAACACTTGAAGCTGCTCCAAAGCACCATTTTTTCGACTCCGGAATCTGCTCCGAAAATCGAGATATTCATTCACTCTCACCTTGACATGTCTAGTAATGAATGATGTCATAGTTAAGGTGTGTAAAGCCTCAGAATTTCATTTTCTTTCATCACATGCTTGCTAGCTCTTAAACATAATGTCATCCACAGTTGCACATGGGTACCTTGTGAAACACATCGAGCAAAACAAGTTTTCTTGTCATGGAGAATGTGCAGCAGACTCTGGCCTTTATTGGATGCACCTGAGGTGTTTTATCGCCTCCTTCTACATTCAGCAAGAACTGTTTTTCCATAAAAACCGGTTTAATCTTGTCATATGGTCTATTCTTATGCAAGAAAAACTGTGAGCAAATGCCGAGGGGAGCTTAGCCTATTTAAATTTATCCCCTTACAGCTCGAGGTAAGCCTAAATTTTTCTTTTTTTTTACGGTGGTGTGACCGTAAAAAAATGTGGTGATTAAATGTGACCTGTATTCATATCTGAGCAATATTTGATTAATTACAACACCATTTGCATGTTGCCACCTGTCCCATTGTTCTAGCAATAATAGTTTATGGTATGAATTATAAAGAATAAGAACAGTGTGAAGGTTTACAGGCATTGTAGATGTCGCACTCCTCCATGAGCATTTAAACTGTCCCACGCTTGCAGGAAGGATACAGGCTCGAGAAAAAGATGGTAGAGGGAAAATTTACATTTAGATATAATGTAAAAGCAGCATGACTGGAGGTCATGAAATAATTGTACGTGTGCACGGCCACTCGATTGCATGCAGACCAGTGGGCGCTGTACCTGTACAGCACACGCACCAAGAAGCTTCTGCACAAGAGCCGGCTGGAGCGAGATCTCGTCTACTGGGCTTGGGTCACGCCGTCCACTCTGGGCCTGGTCACTCGAGATGCTGTCTTTCACTGGGACTGCTCTTCGGGTCAGTACTGTGCAGCACCTGGATGGTCAAGGCAATACTCAGGGGCTAGGCTTATGCTTGCCTGCCGCGATGGTGCAGCGGTGGCAGAGTGGCGCTGCTGCGGTGAGACCCAGGTTGCCACTGAGCAAAGTACCGAAGGACAAAGGGTACTGTACAGGTTTGGTACGGTGCTGGAAACGGCTTATTCGATCCCAGCCTCAGCCCTCATATTTCTACGGAGGACTCTGTACTGTGCGATGTCAGATGGTCAAAATTTCCGGAGCTTATACTCTGGCGTTCCTCATAACCATGTTGTAATTTTTGTATGCAAAACCTCTGATATTATTATTAGACTTGCTCTAAAGTTGTTTTAGGTTAGCACAAGTTTAGCAAATGGTGAAGCTCTTTTCAGTCAATGTTTCTGCGTCCGCTAATGGCATAGTGCTAGTTACGTAGCTTCATGATGTGGCGAGAGCGGGAGTCTGTAAGAAGGGGCAGGTCTGTGCTGCACCGATAAAGGGAGTGCCAAGGTGTAGTGGAGAGGGGGAACCAGTAAGAGGCGATTCAAAAGTAAGCGAGGGTGAGTTTGACGAAGGAGTGCATCAGTTTCGATGGCGTTTCCCGAGTGGAGATGGCCGCATTTTTTTATGGTCATAATGAACTGCGAATGGTGCATGATGTATGGCCAAGAGGATGCAGGCTCCATAGTGCTTGTAAACTTCACTAACTTGTGCTATTCTCATGCGGAGCATTTCTGAACGACAAGAGCTGGGTATATTTTAATCCATCACTCGTTCAAATTCGCAAGAATTCAACAGAGTTGAAGCACATTTACTTTGCTCCTAAGTCCAACAAGTTTGCTGAACACCATTTCACAATCATTAAAAACAGTAGTGTGGCTTACAGGGATAATTGGTAGTTTGTACTGAATGCAAACAGCATAAACCAACTGGTGGATGAAAAGCTATAAGTCCTGTGTGCTGTCTTGCTTGTTTTGATGGTTTTGTGGTGTGTAAATTAGTTTGTAAACTGACCTCGAGGATTGATGGAAATTTCTGGGGAGGCATCCTTCAGCATGCATGGTGTTGGCTAAGGTTGCACGGCGGGCTTGTTGGTTATCCGTACTATCTGAGGTATAGCACATCCAAGATGGGACAGAGAAGAAGACACATTGCACACACACAGCCCCAACTTTCAACAATGCAGTTTATACCTGTGTCGCACGGGCGCGCAAAAAGTCTTTTAAGTAAGCGGTCTTTTATACCCCTGTCACACGGGCACTTAAAAGTCTTTTAAGTAAGCGGTCTTTTTCCGAAAAGGAGTTCCTGCCAGCAGACACACGGCACAGAGCGAACTCTTTTTCAGAAGCGGTCTTTTTCGTAAACGGAGTTCGACGATCTCTTTTACGGCTCCGAATGAGTAGCCTCGAAACCAGTGGGCGCCAGCAATTTTCGAGTGGTGGGAAAAAAAGAGCAAATGCTTATTTTTCTGTCACCAAAACTCTTTGTAAAAACAAATTTCATATCCTGCAGAAGGTGTAATGAACTCTTTTAATGGTTATTTCCTTTTCTACTCTCGTAAGCAGCTACAACGCGTCGGCAATATCACGTGGTGACGCTCGGTCTCTCGCCGCGCCATTTTGCACAAGCGAGAAAAGCGTGGCAGTCGTGTGTTTGCCCGTCATTCAAGTGGTCAAGCTTGTATAGGGCAACGCCGACTCGCTTCTCAGGAGTGATGGTTTCACGCATGCTGGTGCACTGTCTTTCGAGCTCACTGCGCAAGCTCTCCACAATGAAACGAAAGGTGGACGGGTACACTCGAAAAGATTGCTTGAAGTTCTGCTCACCGAGGTGAGGTACAGTTCCCTCGAACCACCTCTCGTTTCGTCTGAAGGCCCAGATCGATCGATCGCAGGCCTTCTCCGACAGCTCCAGTGCGCACAGCAAGGAATTGCTGAACAGCAGTTGCTGCTTGATCCTCTCCTTGGTGGCTTTTGCAGCATCTGCCTCGCTTTCCAGAGCGAGAAGGCAGGCCGTGAGGCTTGCGATCCTCGCTTTTTCTTCCGTACGGTCGCCCATAACGTGTCGAGAGCAGTCGAGAGCAGCGAAAAACAAATACGGTAAATAAAAGCCCAGTGGTGCCAGACGGACTTGTGCACGTCGCTAGTTATGGGAATGCTTCCTTAACTAGTGCAACAAACTTTCACATTGGTGTTTCTTCATCTCTTATTCTTAAATTTATTTGAAGAAACGAGCAGTGCAACAAGTCTTTAATTTGTGCATCGTGATACATCGTTTAATTTTCATTGCTTCTCTTTTAACTGCTAGCGCCACGCTTTCGCTAGCGTCTTCGAACGAAATCACTAAAAGGAGATCGTTGCTGCCGTGTGTCTGCACCGCAACACCTCTTTGTTAAAAGTCTTTCAACTTCAATACCCTAACACGGCGCGTAACAAACCACGTGCTCAAACCTGAAATCGTGTATCCAAAGCAAATCATGCGATGCTCAAATATTCTATTTGTTTCACTGATAATGACACAAATGGCTGGCTGGTGCAGAAGTCACCAAACTTGGTGATGAATCGCGCTTCTATAATGAGTAGGCTTGTGCGAACATTCGAATGCTTGGAGTATTCGAACGAATAGTTGAGTATTTGAATTCGCTTCGATTCGAATTTAGATTACCGAATATTTTCGAAGTATTTGCAATGAACGAATAAATGTATAATAATCTGCATGTCAGCGTCTGTAAAGGTGGTTTCACTGCAATGTAGGAATGCTAAGCCGTGAAAGCATTTATCTAGAGGAAATTTGCTATGCCGTGAAACTCGCCTTCAAATTTAAAGGGGCCCTGCAACACTTACTGATCATGGTCATAAAACACTGCCAATCGGTAGTCGAGGCTACCGAGAACACGCGAGGCAAATATTGTAGCGCTGCACAGCACATAGCCTGTAATTCTCAATAAATTTTCAAAGCTAAAAATTGCTTTCTTCCTTCGGCAAATGACACTATAAGCTCAAAAATCACCTGTCACAGCCAAGAAGAAATACTACACGGCTCTAGTCACAGCCATTGGCTGATTTGAGCATGGCGTGCTCGTCGTTACCGGGACTGCCACTTGTCCATGAGTACTTGTGCGATCGCACTCAAAAGCCGTGTGTTCAAAGGAAAAAAAAAGTGCTCAAGGTCACAAGGTGCGTGTGACGTATTTTCTTTCACAGTGTCATTCCTTCCTGCTTAGCTTCCAGGCATTTCGTCGGGACGAGAAGGGAGAATGCAATTGCAGCATGCGACAAATTTTTAGAACTCCGTGCGTACTAAACTGATTCTAGAAACTTTGCCGCAGTAAATTTGTGAGGCAACAAGCATGTTTACTGGCTCCATGGCTACTTAAAAAAGTGTTGCAGGGCCCCTTTAAAGCAACATGTTACCCTCAAATCAATTCTTCATTTTATTAAGCTTGTTATGACGGCTTATATGCTCCAAGTATAATCAGTTTTGAAACGTTAAATATTTTACAGGTTATCACTCGCATCCTACTGAAACTACTACTCAAGGTTGTTCCAACTTCCTTTGAACGAAGAAAAAAAGAAAAGGGCATTTGCATAGAGCCCCTATTTCAATTAAAAAAATATATTGTGCAGGGCAGTAAGGGCATGATAATTATTCTCTTTTTTTTATGTCATACATACCATTCGATTCAAAATTATTCGATCAAAATCAGTATTCGCTTCGAACCTGAAATTCACTATTTGCACAAGCCTAATAATGAGCCCTGTCATTTCGTTAGTGTTTCTTCCAATTATGCTTGTGTGATTAAAGAGAGGTTGCCAACTGTACTCCTTGCAAGATTGGTTTTAGCCCGCGGTTTGTTAAGCGCCGTGTTAGGGTATATGTATTGTTGATTCTCGTAATGAACTGCATTGTTGAAAGTTAGCTCTGTGCATGTGTTATGTGTGTTCTTCTCTGTCCCGTCCTGGATGCACTATACCTCAGATACTACGGTGTTGGCATCTAATTATGGACAACCAAGTCAAGGCTTGTGCTTGTTTGCAAATCCTCCTTTTGCTATTTTTATGGTAGGGAAAGGCTTGCTGAAACTTCAATTTAATGGTTATACCAAGCAGCCTGGGATGGAAGAAAAGATAGGCGAAACACGGAGAATCTCAAAAGGATGTTATGTACACAGGCTTGCGTAACTGAACCTATTGCGTTATAAATATTCTGGTCCAAATAACTAACTAGTGTCGCAGAGTACAGTGCTGCCTTTTTTGTCTCTGTCCATCACAGCACCCACAGTGCCGGTGTTCATGTTCTCGCTTCATCAGCGCATACGCAACACGGAATTGGTGGGCTACGTCACTGACCCAGGTCTCAAGTGGCTGGCTGTCACCGGACTCTTTCAGGAGGTGGGTACTAAACAGACTGCCTCTTTCAATAGTCATGTCTTGTTTCCGAGTTAGTTACTACATGTAAGTAGAATTTATTGCTTTTCAGACACTTGAAACTTCATGGGGAGCGGCAGTCTGCACCCACTTAGTGGCAGAGATGTCCAGATTTAGAAATCTTTTGTAAACAAGCTACAAATGAATACGTCATGTGGAATATAGAACCAAACATCGACAAACACTCTAGAGATGCATTTTCTAGCAAACCTATTTAACAGGTTAGAGCTGTGCACTTTATTTATTTTTTGTTGTATAATTAGTAAATACAGCTACTGCTGGTTTATTTATGAAGTAGGGATGTGCGAATATTCGAAGTTTCGAGTATATTTTGAACAGTGTTTGCTATTCAATTCTATTCGCACCATGCTTTTACTATTCAAGCTATTCGAACTTCCCAAAGACAAATACAGTCAACGTCTCATTAACAGTTGCTACTTCAATTTTTTAATAAGCTTCACCTTCTTACACTTTTGTATTGCGGCAAAGCAGCCGTTATGGTTCTGCGATGGTTGAAAGTCCATTAATTCGAGAAAACGCTGGTTCTAACATGGAGGTGATAGATGTGGGGGCTCGATAAATGCTATTTTGGATCTGAAATTGAGGCAGGAAGATAAAAAAGTTGGGTGCTGAATGTTTTAGCATCCGAAATTTGAGATATTCTTATATATTGATGTCTGCCAGGCAGATTTGGAACTCCTCACTCGAAGGGAGCACACCCTTGTCCACCACAAACTGTTGGGCTTGACAGAAGCTGAAAAAGGAGGTGAGGCTGATGCAATGGCTTCGCTGCCTTACACGGGTAAGGTGTTGTCAGCAACGCTTTGATTGCACGAAATCGTGCACATAAACACAGTTCCGCCTTTGCATTGCCTCATTCTTTGTAAGACAACCATGAAACACCACCCCGTTGGTGCTTTATTAACATAGCCAAAAGAAATACTTTTCATGTTTCTATCTCATAAGAATATGCTTAGGAATCCTCTCCAACTTTTTCTTCTGCAATTTTGCTTTGAAGTATTTGAAAAATATTCTGGAGACATTCAGGAAGTATTCAAAAAATGGTTTATTCAAGTTGTGCTGACACTTGATATGCATTCAAATTCACTTTGCACCCAGAGTTTTCCAATCACAGAGCTTTGTCATGAAGTTGCGAAAACTGAGCATTTATCATTATTCAGAAGCTTTCTCAACAGATTGGAGCTGTTCACATTTAAATGCGAAGCAGCTCTTTGATTAGCCTGTGTAAAGCTGTCCCTCCGTTCGCACTGAGCTTTCGTGGCCGCAGGTGTTAGAGCGGTGCCAAGTAGGTCACACCTTCCCTCGCAGTGCACACATGTTGACGTCACTCTCTGCCTAGCCTGTCGCTGCTTGCCGCGTGTCATCTCTCTCACTTCACCTTCTCCATGGCTTGCAACGTTGGAGGAGTTGCTGTTTACGCTCAGAGTCGGCGTGCGCTATGCATGTACAACGTTGACTTGGAAGAACGATCCGGAACCTCTCGAAGAGGCTTCTGCTCCGAGTGTGTTGCCGTGTGCGTCGGCGACGTCGCGATCCTCGCGCTGTACCTCGCTCCCAACCTGTCGAAAGAACAGGTTCAGCGGTGTCTGGAGGGAGACGCTGATTTATTGCGGCGAGGCGTGTCGACACGCACCTTTTATAGTCGTGGGAGACTTCAACGATGACGTCAGCGAGGAGGAGGAGAATGGCTCGTCGATTACATGCGTGGCGTGCACACGCTGAAGTGCGTGTCGGCGGAACAGAAACTACCCACAACGATAAGAGGAATGTGCATCGATCTGGTCTTTGGCAACTTCGATGTCGAATGTCGGCGGGAATCTCTTCCCCGATCATAAGGTCGTGGTAGTCTAGGCAAAACACGTGCCAGCTCCAGTCCAGCACTCGTGTCCACTCTGAAGAAACCACAGAACCTATGCCAGCCATCGCTTCAAACGAATCTTCCAGCGCTCACCACAGCACCCGCGCTAGCGCCATTCAACCCTTGATGCGACCTGTGCACAATGCTACTTGTTTTCACCTCATCAGGGTTCCCATTCTGATGATATTGTTAATTTTTGCTTATCATTTGTTGAACAATTTGCAATTGCAGCAAGGTATAACTTATTCAGCACTTCTTATTACTTTTGTTAAATTTGAGCCATTTTCATTATGCCTGGCCTTACAATCTTGGTCATTACCATACGGCAATGCACATGCACTAACTCCGATGCATTGGGCCCCATGCCAGTTCTCGCTGACAACACTTATCAACAAGTCGTGTCCCAAGCTTAGGTAGCAATGCATAAGTGAAAACAAATGAACAAGTTCGAGGGCGCGCTGGCACTCTTTACCCATCCTAATAAAAGTGATAGTGTGCTCCCTTCTATGACCATTGTCTGGAGTGTGGTTTAGGGCAGAAAATATTGTTATTTCTGCGACTCCAAAGGCAGCACCTTAAATATGGAGAGGGAGGAGGAACAGAGAAAAGCAGAGAGGCCACCTTTCAGTACGGACACAAACGAGAGCCAGGTTGAGGTACTCTTCTCCCCATTAAAAGAATCTGTGAATGTTTGGTGGCTCTGGGAATTAAAACCTGGTACTGCCTGCAGTGAAATCGGATGCTATGCCACTCGACCACCACTGCAGTGGTCAAGTTGTAGCAGGAGATCACGCCACCAGTTCTCGTCCCAAAAACGAGCAATTGCGCAGATGCTATTGTGTGTTTTTTCATTGGTGACAAGTTAGTCAGGCAGGCAGTTCAGTCATCAACCTATACCTTTCCTGGTGTGTTCTTTAACGTCACTTCAGCATGAAAATCTGACAAAAGGACCTAAAAGCGCTCCTCGTGGATTTGCCTAAGATGACTTGAAGGTGAAAGCCATTTCTTGTGGTCATCGTTATCATCTTCTTCACTGATGATTATTGTCATCATCGATAGTTGGCACCATCATTGTTTGATGAATATAGTTCGTGGTCAACATGATGATAACGTTATCATCATCCCTGTTTAGAACATCTCGGTGTATCCTAGTATTGTGTACGCTGATGGCGCTGACTGTGCTGACGATGACTTTTCCTTTCTGATGAGGCAGGTAAAGCTTTCACTTTAACCACAGTGTAAAGCTCGCATGCATGGAAGAACTGGTGAGTGCTTCATCTTCCTGTGGTGTGGATGTTGCAGGAGCAGGTGGTCTCTGGTCTGGTCCAGCTGTACAGCGTGGACCGGCGTGTGAACCAGCTGCTGCCCGGCCAGTGCGTGCAGCTGTGCAGGCACCAGTTCCAGGACCAGCCGTACGTCTCGCAGCTGCTGCTGCTGGCCGACCGGGGACCTGCAGGACAGCGGCCCGAGGGGCGCCTCCACCTGACTGAGCTGAGCCCACCCGCCAGTTCGGGGGGCGCCCTGCGGGGACCCATTGCCGAGACGCTCGAGTTCTTCGACCCCCTCGACAAGTTCGACTTCCCTGTGTGTCTGCAGGTCAGTCGAGGTTTCTTTGATTAGTAGAAATGAGCTCCCATGAGATAGTAGCTGCCAAAATTTGGCAAAAGGGGTATCTGTCATTTTAAATGTGCTTTGAATTAATGCATGCTACATGTATGGAATACTGTCGTGTACCTACTATGATATTAGCAGTTATCATGTTGTACTGCTAAGTACAAGGTTGTGGGTTCAATGCCTGGCAACAATGGCCGCATTTCGACAGGCGTGAGAAGGAAAGACAGTGCTGTGCTTAGATTGACGTGCCCATTAGAGAGTCTACACTGTAGTATTCCTCGTAATCATTTTATGGTTTTAGCGTGTAAAGTTCAATAATGTAATTATTGATACTTCAAAAATAATTCTTGGCAAGTAAAGGGCGTGACATGCTTTGGAAAAGAACAGGTTGAAGAATGACAGCACCTTTCTTCACCTCAGGGTTTCCCAATGCTTTGTTTGTTTGTCATGAGGCCAACTAGTTGATATGCATGCATGTTAGGGTAAATGCTGCTTATTGGTCAGTCAGCAAAGGGTGGTAGGGCCAGTATTCCCAGAGCTAGTAGTGCGGTCTGAAAGAGAGGGGTGTTGTTCCATTTAATGTCACTGAACCGTCCGTAAAGCTGTCATTCAGTTGGCATTATGTAGAGGGCAGTTGGACATGTGAACAAAGTGACTTTTCTGGAGATTTTTTTTATTTTATGCCATTTGTCTGAATCGAGAGTGATTCTGGCACATATAGTTACAAAATTTAGTTGGTTTAAGTTGCATCAATTTGCCGTTTCACAACCGAAACTTGACTCCTTCATTGCCATGCTTATTCAACTCGATCACCAGTGATCGATGCTTTGAATTGCTAATTTTGAGGATGTTGGAATGGTTTGTCATGCACCTAGTACTTCTTAGTGATTAGTCCAGGCTCTAAGCTTTCAGAATCGGTTTGAATTTTTTCGCTGTGGTGACCTAGTGGTTTTCCACTGACCATTTCTGCGAACCAATTTGCATGTGTAGTTGGGAAATTTGACGTGGCTGACGCATGAGAGAGGAATGTGTGCTGCCTGTGATAATGCTTCAATAACACGGACGTTTGCAAGTAAAATGTCGAATTGTAAGTGTCAGTTTCACAAAGGGACAGTGTTGATCGGTAATAATTACGAGAAAGTTTCACCAGCTACTCACTAGTGAGCTGTTGCTTGAAGTCCGGGAGAATATATTTGATCAAAACTTGTTTCCATAGGTCCACCACACATATAACACGTAGAGCTGTCCTGTTCAGCCAGTGTCGAAAATTTTTCGTTTCGCATTTATCGTTAAATCTTACATAGGGCCACATACAGTTTCGCTAGTTGCCCATGGCCATGACGTCATGCGTGTCTGCGCCGCTTAAAGGTGCCTTGGCACACCACCTGGATTGAGTGACGAGGACACATTCTTTGAGTTTGAAGATGCCACTTGCACCTTAGCTTCAAACTTTGACCGCGATGATGTTTCGAGTCGCCCTGGGACATCTGCAGCCATTGTGCGTTTGGTTTTGTTCACAGCCCAAAGTAACTCTTCCGCCATGCGTACTTAGTTGTCAGCTTCTGCATGCAATCTAAGAGCTACTTCTGTGGTTGCGTGCAGGGTCGACACGTTGCTCTGGCAATCTGTATAATTTTTCTTCACACCAAGAAGGATGCACTGAGCATGTCTCCACCCTGCCCCATAGTGTGGTGGGAGACGTTTTATGACTGTGCACGATTTCTTCTTTCTTTTCTTTTTCGCCGCTGAGGGGACCAATATCATCTGTAAAAAATACAGAAGACTCTCAGTAAATGGAAATCTCTTAAGCGGAACTGCTACCTAAATAGAGCAATTGATTGGTTTGGTTTGACGATCGATTTGGACCTGCCAAAGTGGTCTTGTGGTTAAAGGTGATCTTCGGCGATTTTTCGACAATGTCAAAGTGACAGTGCTCCTACATTCTCTGGATGCCCCAGCCATGCACCTGATAGCACAAATACTCGGCAAATTCCAAAATAATTAATATAGGCATGAAAGCACTACACCGAAACCAGAACCTAGCAGAGCAGTACTGTCTTCGCGTGATGCACAAGTCAGCAAAAACCAGAAATCATGCAAGGCATGTGGTCCTGCTAGCACAGAGTATCAAAAGTGTGAAAGCCGTGGAGAGTGAACCCTCAGTGGGTGGGTGACCACACCGACCACGCTTCACCATGTCTGTGACTGACTGTGCCACGTGCACAAGCTCCTCGGAGCTGTGGGGACAAAGACAGCTGTGATTCGGATGTACTTGGAGGTCAACGAGCATTGCTGTCAGTGCATCACGATTTACCCATTCACTCTGGAAATATAAATAAATCAACAAAGGACAGTCTTACTGGAATTCGGGATGTATGTGAACCTTCGATTGGTGGTCGCTCCAGCTATTTGCGCACCTGAACTGCTGGCAATGTGCAAAGCTCAGTTCGAAAACTTCAGTTATCATGTCTTCCGCCAAATCACATCCCGAATTCAGTCAAACTGGCCATTATTAAATTCTTTATTTTACCAGAAAGAATTAGTATGAGGGATAAGATGGTTTGACGAATATGAATCTCTGGTCATGACATAAATAATGTCGCAATGCCATCACATATGTATGTCGTCAAGCCCGTTCCACCAGATGTATGTGCCACAGGTGATTGACAGCTTGTGTCTACCCAGGAGCAGCGAGAACAGACATAGGCAATTTTAATGCGTGACAGTTAAGGAAAAAGTTGACATTGGCAGCGTTGACCCGAATGCAAAGAATAAATGTGGCAACCTCAGCAGGAATCTGAAGCCTAGCATTCTGCGTGGCAATCAAGTATTGTAGTACCACAGAGCCAAGCCAGGTTTTGCAACTACTTTTTAAATAGACCCTAATTTTTGTGAAACGTCTATTGTGGTTGCAATGCTGGCTATCCAATTTTGCAAACAATATATATGTACTCTTAGGATACAGCTGTCATGTTGGATTAATTTAAGTTGTAGTTAGGTGCCATCCGCTGAAGTTGATTTATGTCCAGGGCTACCGTCCTCGCGAGCACCAGCACTTCATATCAGCTTACCACTTTTGGTGTCGCAAATACTCATGATCCTATTGGCATCGTTACTAGGCTTGTGCAAATATTCTAATCCTTCACCGAATCCTTTGAATACTACCGTATGCGAATTCTGTTTGTTTTGAATTCAAGTTGTTGAAAAATTTGAAGTATTTGAAATGAACCATCTGGTGTAGTCCGCATGTAACTCCCAATAAAGGTGGTTTCACTGCAACAAGGGAGTGCTAAGATGTGAGAACACCCATCTAAAAAAAACCCGCACTGCTGCGAAGCCCGACTTCAAGGTTATATGAGCATATTATGCTTGCCTTGATTATTCGTTTTTCAAGTTCAAAAGCTAGTTATACCGAATTATATGCTTTGTGTATAGTAAGTTTTAAATGTTAACATATTTTACAGGTTATCACCTTCATTCTACTGAAAGTGAAATGCTGCTACTATTGAAACTTGTTTCCACGTCCTTTGAACTGAAAAAATGGCATTTACACAGGCCTTGTTTCAATTCCTAAAAAATATTGCGAAGGTTAGTTAGGTCATGACAAATACTATGCCCATTTCTCATTATATACATGATATATACTAAACGAATTCGATTGAAGTTATGTGACCAAAATCGCTATTCACTTCGAATTCACTTTGAACCGAAAATTCTCTAATCACACAAGCCTAATCGTTATGCAACTGTGAACAATTAGTTGTATTTTTTTCGTTGACGTGACCATCTTCCTCCATAGTCACCTCTGGCACCTTAGTTAATTAACTGCGACAGTCGCTCTTGAGAGAAAGACACAAGGTAAGCTGGCAAGTATAGAGGCCAGCCTCTCGAAGTAGGACAACGAAGTAGTTCGGTGCGTGTACGCTGTGGTGTTTCTTGGCCTTTTGTGCCAAGAGTTGTGCGTCCTGTTTCATATCCACGTCCCTGTTTCCCTGTGACAATATAAAACATATGCGGTTCTTTAACGTATGTCTGTGCGTTCATTTGTACATATCTTTAGAGCCACTTCGAACGTATGGCTCAATAAAAAAGTTACCACACAGTCACCTTTCATCCACATGCTTTGCTTAAAATCAATTCCAAAGATACGGGTATCTGCCAAACTTTTTTATTCCTGTGCTGCAAGCAGTGAGGCCTGAAATTCTCCTGTGTCTGTGGCAAAATTGTCAAGAGGTATTGCTGAAAAACAAAACTCTCGGAGCTGCAGACTAGCCCACACAGCCAACGAGCCCCTCTGATAACTTTCAATAATTCAAAGTTTCTTGCATCCCACTTTGTGTATGTTTCGTTGATTAAAAAAAATTGCTTACCTAGTTCAGGACTTTTTACAGTCCCGGTGACTTAGAATTCACGAGGTTTTACTGTATGTAAATACGAGCATTGTAGGGAGCACTTATTATTTTTCATACTATTCCGGTGTCATTTACCTACAAAATTTATGTTCTAAATATTTTTGTTTTGAATGTTAAGAATTTTTGTTATGAATGTTATGAATTTTTGTTATGAAAGTTGAACCCCTTTTAGAGAGGTGCGTTTCGCGGCACCACACGGGGAACGCGTCTCTGTTTTTTTTCTAGACAACCAACCTCAACTTGCGTATTGAGTCTGTGTTGACTGTTGTGATCCTTGTGAGCACTCTCTCCTAGCAGACATATACAGTGTAAAGAGGGACAAGCTTGCTTGAAAGTACAGAGGGTAATGTCCTAGCTTCAACAATCATTTTTGGCTGGTTCTTTCATATTTACAACATCTCTGAGGGAGCCTTCATTGAAAGGAGCTGTCCATGAGGTGCTCACATGTGTGTGGTTTTTTTGTTCTCATGTATCCAGTTATTTTTATAGGAAAACTGCTTTGGGTCCCGTCTCACTCAGTGCTCTCTGAAACTGTTAAGGTATAAAGTCCTTTCCAAATAATTAGCCGCAGCGCGATCGAGCCATCGAGGTTTCCAGCCATGGTAAGTGGGTTGTTGGCTACTGATTTCCACAGAAAAACAAGATGCGAAATTTTTGTCAGTGCTCCTTTGAAGATGACACTTTTCTTGTGGTGATGACAGAGTTGATGCACTGAGCTTTATAGTTTTGCCTCTTTAATGTGATGACATTGTTGCTTTCAAAGGGTGGTGTGCAAAAAAGGAAGGTAACGCTAGAAAAAAAAAAACACGAACACAGCACGTTGTTATTCTTTAGCATCCTTTTGTGTCACCACTGTGCTCCTTTAGCTGCAGATAAAGCATCATCTGTCAACCTATTAGTTGTTGACGTCAGGCATGCGATCCTGCGACTGCAATGTCATTCCTCTGTCCAGGTGTCCAGTAGCCAGGGCCTGGTGTATGTACTGACCAAGTGCGGTGTCGTGCACTTGTGCGACCTGGAGACGATGACGCCTCTGTGTCTGCACGTTGTGTGTCCCGACATCACCTTCACTGCCTCGATCACACCCACATGTGGGCTCATGGTCGTGTCACGGAATGGCCAGGTGAGCTTCAGAATGCGATTCTTGCAGCCCTGCATCATTAGGGCAAACATCCTTAGGTTATGAGTGCAATTCTTGGCCTTGTCAGTGCAAGATATTCAATGGTAAATGCTGAACTTATGTGATGAAACAAGACAGGAACGAACGTAGACACATGCGCTAACTTTTAGCCATGGTTTATCCATAGCCAGACAAAATATATGTATGTGACTGCACACACTCGGGCATTCACATGCTGTGGTCAAGGAACGACACCTACTTCCTAGCTGATTATAAAGATGTTCTATTCACGCGCTCTTGGCCTAACTTGGTATAATGGTTTAGTAATATTATTTGGTGCTTGCGTAAAATAGGACATTTATGAATAAGATGCCAACGCCCACATGTGCCTCTAAGAGTTAACAAGCCATCTCTAGCCTTCTTAACATTGTTGTGTTCTGTCAGCCTTTCAATCCGTCATTACTGTGTAGACAACTTCTAACATAATTTGCTGCAGTTGCAAATAACCCTACTATAAGCAGTATTGCACTTTAATTAAACTATTGTTTTTGAAAGACTATATGCGTTCAAAACATTACAAACAGGCAGTCGTGTAATTCTGACTGCTAACATCCTTGGACTTGCAGTCCCGACATAAAAAACAGGGAAAAAAAAGCACAATAAAGGGGAAAATCACCGACTAACTTTTTGGACTGGTGCACACGCATGGTCAAAAACAGTGGTGAACACAAACCACCACTGCTCAGCCACTGCACACCTGCTAACAAGTGCATTCGCTTTCTTGCTTCTCTGAGAATTTTTCAGCAGCTTCATGATAACTGGTCTTTCATCTTGGGGGTACTGCTCAATAGGCAGTATACAAATACATGGAGTTCTCTGGTTGGGCAAACGGGAGTGAGAAAAAGCGGAATTAGTTTAGCCAGTCCTGCACTGTAAGCATTTACATTATATATATTGTAAGCACATTTATCATACTTCATCGTTCTCACTTGTACATGACCATCATCATCGCGATCGGGCTCGTTCATTGTATTTCTAAGCCAAAGCAATCATCACGGAATAAATGATCGTGCTGGTCCTGCCTGGTGAAGTCTTCCTGCGTCTTTCAATATAAATAGTCTAGCTGTATCATAAACTAGACAGCAACTGCCATTCCTTGACACCTACGCATATGCATGCATAGGTGCTTGATTGTTTATAATCGCATTTACTGTATATTAGTACAAAAGCTGTTATGTGATCACGACTAGGATCATTTTTGAGCGCCATAGTTGTACGCCGCCACCGGTGTGTCAGTGCATGAAAATCTCTGCTCTTTCATTGAAATGCAGCATTTGATGCCTCGGGGCGTCAATTGTTCTTAGTTGTGTGCAGCACTGCGTACCGAACCTGCACGGCCACTGCCGAAGCACTTGCTGTACCATATGCATGCCTTTGCCACGAGTCTTTCTTGTGTGCAATCTATTCCTGAGTGCACCCAGTCGCAGGGATGGTTTACTTCTTCAATTCTTGAAAGGAACACATCTTTTCGACGCAGTGGTCTCTCACAAAGAAGCAGTAGTTAAAATTTCCGGAACCCTTAACTACGGCATCTCTCATCATATAGTTGTTTTTGGATGTTAAACCCCAGATAATATTAAAGAAGTAGTAGTGAACGGCAGCTCAGCACTTTTGTGTTGTAGCCTATTAAAAGTGTACATTACACTTGCAATTGTGCGATTTCACATGTAGGGCTGACTAGTTAGCTGAACTTGGCCGTTATAACAGGGTTGTAATCAAAAATGTACTGGTGCTTTTTGCATCTGCTGCCATAACACCTTTGTACATTTCCTGCCCTTATCGATAAAAGCATTGCCTTACTGCGATGCCTCATCTGTCATGCTGCAGCGAAAAGTCACATTTTCTCTGTGACGCTCATGCGCTGCCGTGGCCTACAACTTTCTCCTCCTCAAGTACTTCTTTCTCTGCAGATAGAACACTCAACTGCCACATAGAGAGCTCGGGTTAGATTCACATGCAACCATAAAAATTTTTTCTCATTTCATTTTTTCTCATTTTGTGCAATAGCGGTTATAGACACTGGCGGCGGCGGACAACTATGGCACCAAAATTGTCTGTTGTTGTGGTGTCATAACTGCCTTTGCTGTAAAAATCTTTCGAGGGTTCAGCTATTAGAAGGCTTCTTAACTGCATTTCGAAAATTTAGACTTGTGCACATTACTTTTTTTAAAAAACAACTGTCTACTCAGTGTGGTGTGACATAGTATGTCACCAAAAAGCTAATGTTTACAAATTTTGCCTTTGTTACAATGTTTGCTGCAGCTCTCTGCGGGAAAATGCAACAACGTCCCTTACAACTTATGTCTACATGCATATTAAATTTACCCACGTAATCTAAACCTGGTGTCATCCCTTACCATGTGCCCTATAGTTATACTTATGCTTTGAAATTTACCATTTCTGAGGCATGTAGCTTCAGAGTTTGTAAATTTTTTTGACATTCTTACGCTGAATGGTCATCGTTGCTGCATGTTACACCACCCCTGTTTTTTTTTTCTGTCAGGGTATTAAAACCATCCCCCCACCCCCCCCCTTTTTTTTTTCAAATTCACGCATGCTGTCTCTTTAATTGAATGGAGCGCAACACTTGCGATGCTCTCTGACAGTGCACTGACTATCATTATTGTGCTGCAAGGTTGAATATGTAGCCCATCTCAAATTTAAGTAGTTGTGAAAAACTTAAGAGGATATCTTTTTTTGGTCTGTGGAAGTTTTGTCAACTATACAGTTGTTTTTCTGTTTGCATTTCACAGGTCCTCTTAGTTGAGATAAAAAAGGCGGCGCTTCTACGGCGCATCGTAGAGGTGGTGAACAGACCGGGCATCGCAACTCGACTGCGGCAGACCTTGCCCTGAGTGTGCACCCTCGCTGGTCCTGATACTGCTCGGAGGCAGCGCACGGGCTGCACTGGGTCAAAGTAATGCTCTCGTGTTTTGTCTAGTCATCGGGGAGACCAAGTGTGATGATTCCGCCAGGGTGCTGCGAAGCGTTTTAGTGTGTACATGCCGTGCTTGTGCCGCTTGCCTTTCTAGCACGAAAAGGTGCGCACGGTGTGGTCCTTTTGCATGCACATAGCCTGCACCTGCACGCAAGTGACGTGCCCAGTTGCGAAGCTCAGGCAGGAAAAAAAAGAAAAGAAAGAAAGAAGTGGCCTCGTGCTAAACTAAGCATAGAGGCTGCATTCAGATTTTGAGAAAGCCAAGCCAAGCTAATGTTGTACTTTTGCAATTGTTTGTTCTGGCAGATGCAGGGGCATGGTGTGGCGTAAGAAAATGGACTAATTTGTACGCATGATTTAGATTCTGATACGACTGCACGGCACAGACGACTGTGTCCTTCCATGCAGGTGCATAGCGATGTGTGCGGTTTCACTATAGAGCTGAACACAAGTGAGACAAAAGATGCTGTCATAACTTGAATTCGTGCTTTGTACTTAAGTTTGGTACTTGGATTTGGTGCAGGCTATAAGCACAGGTTTACGGCTTTGCTTTTCTCGCATTCAGCGAGATGGTGATTTTATCCAAAATGCACAGTGTGTGGTAGGTATGTATTGCAAAAGAGCCACTAGCTGCATTAAGCAAAGTCCTGGTTTGTTTTAATAGAAGCAAGCTGTGATGATCGTAAGGTGAGAATGCCTAAAGTACATGAGCATGCTGTAGGGAGGACACGATGCAAGTAGTGTTGAGGATTTTAAAGTAAACAGCCGCAATTAAGAATGACGCTGTGAAATTATGCTTTCTTACATCATGAGTTTCAACCACATGTGGCCTAGCTGTCATCATTCACGGCTGTTTCATTTCCCAGCATTATAGCTATTTCCTAAGCCACACTTCAAGGCTGCGTGTGCAGCACATAAAGCAAAAGAAGTGTCTAGAGGCAACAACCAAAGTTTTTGTTTATAGTCTTTATTTCGTTACAGTTAATGGCTGGCTCTCAGATATATCTGTCCTCACCTACCCTTCAGACACTTCACTACTTTAGAAAGTTATCAGAGATAGGTTAATTAGTAGAGGGCCTTGCAAGGTGTTTACGAGTGAGAGCAAAAGGGGAATAGAAGTTAGTGAAAGCCAGGGGGGGGTTAACCAATGCAGAAACAAAGGGTTTGCGACACTAAGGGGTTGGGTGAAGATGGAATAAAGGGCGGCGAGAAAAAGCAGGCATGTAGAGAAAGAAAAAAAGAGTGAGGAATGCGAGTATTATAGTCTGTCTCATAGGCCACTGCCATGTAAAAAACTATACTAGCGAAGGACATTTGCTAGTAAGATCTCTTTATTAGCATAGAAAATGGCAAAGCGATTGCGTGGTCTTGTCCCGAGCTTGGAGGAGCTTTTTTATGCAGAAAGGCAAAGATCCGACTGAGTCAACGAGTGTTCTCAAGCATGACAGTTGTTCACTCATTCTTGTCATTTACATTTTATGCTATATTTTGGGCAGAGTGTTTTTTTTTTATGCTCTTTTGCGTGAATGTGGTGTGTAATTAACGCTTACTGGATTGTTTTCACTGAAGCTGCATTGCGAAGGACAGGAGTAGCGCCATGCATTATTTTTATGTTTGAAAATACGAATTGTTTGCTTTTTTGTAGCAACATTTACTTTGATTTCTTGCATTTGTCCTTTGTATATACTTTTTATGCTCCTCTTGCAAAACATGGCATAAATAATGAAGCAACTCATAAGCGGCTTTTCCTGGCCGTAGTACTGATAATTCTGTTGTAAAGCGTTGCGCAGAATCAGAATTTTGAGATGAAATTTGTTCAAAAGCTGTGTAGCAGCTTCCTTAATTTCTCTATTATGGAGTGCGCTTTCACGTAAACAAACTGTTCCTCATCTTTCACGACGTTTGGAGGAAAAAAAAAATAATTGCTAGTGACAGGAATCGCAGAAACTTCTATTACTGACTGTTACGGCTAAACATAATGCATACCTCCTATTTTCGAAACAACAACTGATGCCCATCATCGCGTAGACGGCCTGCACTTTACACTCTAACACCACTAGAGATGAGGTGGGCATATTTATGAGTGAAGCACCGCAGCAGTGTATCCAAGCATTGTCATATTCATTGAAGCAGTGCTCCTGAAAGTGATAACTTGGTGTGAAGTTGGGCCATGAATGCAACCGCCTTTTAATTCGAGAAGCTGGTTGTACCTACATCTTAAACTTATGCTACATGCTATCGAGGTGCTAGAGTGGCTGCTTCTCTTCTTATTATTTTTCTTCCTTCCCACATGTCAAATGAGATGACTTTTTCCTTTTACATTGTATATTTACTTTTAAGAAATATTCGTGGTGTATATAATTTTATGCTACTCTACATTGAAATGTGTTAGATCATCAGCTCTGGTTGAGATGTTTTTACATTTTTTGGCACCGTTTATCACCTAAACATAGCGTGTGACCTTCAATACTTGTGTGCCGACTTGGAGCTTTAGAAGTTGTCAAAAGTCAGCTGATGCAAACACTAATTAAGCATGACAACTTTTTCATTTAGAGATTGGGGGAGGGGTATGTTTGACTTTGTAGTGAAAACATTTGCTAGCACTTGTTCTGTTGTATACTAATGCGCCTTATCAATGCCAGAGACCTACCTGACCAGAAAGGCTACATGTGTTGTTTTCTTATGGTTTTCCTTACGTCTAATGTTTTCATAAAGAGACGACTTTTAGGGGAGTGCGGGGGGTTACAGAGCAAGAGAAGTTTGTTGTTGCACAACATGTGTGCGAGTGTGGTGGTCAAGGGCAGTGACCTTTTGAGCCGGCATAACCTGCTGTGAACTTTCAGTTCAGGGAACTTTGCTGGAAGTACATGTGTTGTCATTAGTAATAGCTTTTTGTGAATACTTTTTTTTTCTTGATGCTGCTGTCGTTGTTGTGCACGTGCCAACTCGCATGCCCCCTGTAGGAGAGGCCTGGTTGTAAGGGTATGCTTTTTGTTTGTTCATTTTGTTGAACTTTTGAGTCAAGTATCACGCTCTTACATATTGTGAAATACATGGAGTGTCCGCCTGTTGCTAGAATCCGGATTGGCAGCGAAGTAGTAGAGTCTCGGTGAACAGAAATCGGCTATGTGGCACAACGGCCCGCAATTCGGTTGGTTTTGTATTTGGGTACTCCACCTATATACGCCTTTCTGAGTAATTGAAACTCCTGTTAAATTGAGCATATATTCTCGCCGTTCATTCAGATTCTGTTGAAAGAGGCTCTACTGTACACTGCGGGTGCCATGCACTGCTGGTTCCATTCTGTGTGCAGTTAAACCTGCTCATAATGAATCTTCGATATAACGAATTTCTCGATATAACGAAGTTTTTTATTCCCCGCCGTTGCTCTATAGAAGCACATGTATTTGTGACCCCTATGTAACGAAGCAACAGAGGGAGACAGTCTTGGTATGATGAATTTTCCGCACAGACAATCTAGCAATTTTGCCCTAGGTATTTCGGTACGAGCATGCCTCTTCCACGGGTGCACCGCTGCCGACGAAGCGCGAAGTGGTGGTGGCGTGCACGGCACAGCAAATGAAAACCAGCACTCGTGATTGCACACGGGTGGGAGTGAGGTGGACAGGCGGGCCTGCACCCCACGAGCCGGCGTTGCCCCTGCGGGCGCACATGTGGATGTGCTCTTTCCTCCAAACCAAAAGCAAAAAAAAAAAAACAAAACTACTTTTGCTGTTTGCAGTGCCAGGCTTTTAGTTAGGGTCACATATGTCGGGCCGTGCTGCACTTGGAGGGCGCTTTACCGAATAGTTTTCTGCGGTATGCAGTCTGTGTTGTTTGCTCTTCGTATTCGACGCTGTGCGCCCGTGCATGGTTTCACTGTGCACGAATGCTGTGGCTCCCGGCGACTTTCAGCTTTGCTATATTTTTTTTGCTTTTTTTTGTTTCTTTAATGCGGACAACCATGTCGTGACCACCGAGGGTATGTCAGATTAGGCGCTCATGGAAACTTTCCAAGACCACAGTGACGACGGATCTTCGGTGGTCGACTCGTCACGCACTTTTATCTTGCGCCGCGCCGTGATTTTGCAGGCTCAGAGCTTTCACAATTAGCTGATTAGTTCTGGCAAAAACACGACGGCGCGTTGAATGCAATGCAATGAATGTGATCAAGAAAAATTGTAAGTGTTACATGAAGTAAGGCCGGCAGCCAACTCTTTCAGAGCCAATATCGCAGAACTCCTACAAAACGCTGGTGTGAGCGAATACGGCTGCTTCAGGGAGAAGTGCTCTTTTCAAACAGTTCCTTCGTGTTGGAAGTGCACTCATACTTGCCGAGATAACAAGCGCGCCAGTGATAACGACTGCCCTTAAAATCAAAGTTCATTGCTGCTACTTGAGCGAACCCCCTTCGCGTTTTTTCATGCTTGTTCAAGATTGGTGGTTTCCTTTCTGTTTGAGCATTCAACGGCAGTTCCAACATGCAGGGGATGTTATCTTGTGCGCCTTCCAGGCAATAGAGATAGACCGAATCATTTGATCTGTGCTTCAAGAGAGCTTGGGCTCATTTACCCGCTCGTTGAAGCTACAAAGTTACAATGCGCGGGGGTATGTTATCAATTTTAGGCTTGTTACAGAACACGGCAGCGATGTCAGGAACCCACCGAGAGTGTCTATATAATTGCTATCGCAATCGTAACCGAGCTTTTTACCGCTAAATATCAGTTTTGGGTAAGCTCTGCATTCAGTCTCCCTTTTTGTTTAATTTGTGCATATATTTTTCGAATTTTTGCACCGAACCTGCATATAACGAAAGCCTCTTTATAACGAATTTTTTGAGAATTTGTCAACTTTATTATATCCAGGTTTAACTGTACTTATATTGTTGGTTTACTTGTCGTTAGCTAACAGTTGACTGACAGCATTGTCAAATGGTTGTGTGGCACGTGTTGTTTCATGCATCTTCTTCCGACTTGCTTGAGTGGTTGCTAGCAAGTGAAGCCGGCCTTGTTGCTACCCGTCATATGTGCTGCAAAACTGTATGTTGTGTAATATAATCGCCATGCCCTTTTTGATACCGTGCTGATCGTGACAAAAGAGAGTAGTAATTGATTAGAAGTTTAAGTGAAATGCCACTGTCATGCGTTGTTCTGATAATGTGTCGACTAATCTTGAGAAGAGCAGCTTATTGCACTGCTTTCCTGAAGATGTGTTTCTGAAATAATGCAGCAAGGAAGCTAGCTCCTTGAGGAGATATCTTGTCACGACTGACAGTTTTCTCTTTTAGTTTCGAGTGGCCTGCAGTTCACGAGCCACTGTGCGATATTTTCTCTGTTCTTTCATTTTACATATGCCTCGTTTTGTTTTTATTTTGCTTGTGCACAAGTTACTCAAGCCATTCGATGTTGAAGCTTGCCATACAGCTGAATTTTACAATCTCGTGCATTTCAGGTAGTATCAGTCTGCACCTTGAGGCTAAATCAAATTAGCGCTTTCTTCCGTGACTGCGAGATGTGTGTCGTTTAATTTGTGTGTTGGCGAGTGAGTAATTTAGCAGAAGCCATCCGCGTTCATTGTGTTGGAGCACACAAATGTCGAACTGAGGATAGCTCTAATGAAAAGAATGTTTTTGTCTGATGTGTCGCTCAGGTATGCCACATTGTTTGGATGGGTGCTTATCATAGTGGAAACAAATGAGACAAATCTGCACTTGTTGGTGCTTTAGAGACTTGTGATTGTACATGCCTAAATTAAGCATGTACTGTACTCAATGAATGAAAGGCACTCTAAGTAAAGTGTAGTGTAGACTGGCTAACTTTATTTGAGGGTGTTAGCACCACTGCCTGGTTTGCCCTGTATTTTACTTACAATGTGCTGGTGTCTGTGACTGCCGAGTAGTTCATGAGTCTATGTTTTGTACGATAATGGACCACACTGGATGCTCTAATTATTCTACCTTTCCTAATACTAGGTGAGCTCTGGCAGCTCTCGGCAACCTGTTCCCATACAGAACTGTATTGTCTTTATTTTTTTTGCTGTTATTTATTTTTCAGTATTCACTTCTTATCGTCTCTCATATTTTTGATGCCGTTTGCATAGGTGGTGTCTTTCTGTGTTCCTGTTTTTACTCTGTACACGTTTGTCACCGAAAGTCTGGTGAATACCCCATCGTTTTTAAGGGGTACAAGCACTGATTGTGCCTGATTTCTTGTGTTGCCTGATTTTTCTATCCCACTCTTATAAAGAGACTAATCTTTTGCAGGCATGCACTGTTGCTCATGTTATGCTCAGCTATGTTATGAATGTGCATTAGGCAGTAAGCTACTGACCCATCCTTTGAAACTCTGTCGATGAGCAAGCAATCCCTTGCATACTAGGCTTTTTGAACTCAAATACTTTTGCAAGCAATTTCGTTGCCTTTGTGTCATGTAGCTCTTCGAGTGAATGTCTCTTTCAGGCTAGGCTAATTCATTAGTGCTGGTTCATTTCTACTGTATATACAGCTAATTACCTTGTCATTTTATTCGTTACCTTTCCGGCCTCCTGAATGTAGACTGCCTGCACTATGCAGATTCCCAATTACCGTTAGCCTGTGTGAATCCAGTAGATATTTGTTCCTGAAAATTTCATAGCTGTCTTTTACTCTATCTGATTATGCTTTGTTGTCAGCTGCATTTTTCCATTTTGGCCAAACCGTCGGGTTACCCCAAAATACTGTTGCTCACCTATCTAATGTTTAGGTAGCCTTCAAAATGGCACTCCTCTTGAAATTATTCATAACTTGCGTGTGGATCCAAATTTCGAAACTCGTGATACACGAAATTGTGCTGGCATAATGCACGTTGTGCGCTTTCCTTCCTAGGCTAAAGCTTCTCGTTCTGTCGTTCTTTGCAGGAGCCTGACTTCTTCCCAATCATATTTTCTATTTATAACAGTCTGCCCATGTGTCAATGCAGGTAACATGTAGTGATTGTGCACTTCTCAAAGGTAAGCCGTAACTAATGTGCCCCACACAATTCCTGCTCTTCCGTGGTGTCCTTCGCAATGTCTGGGACATTTGTCACTAATGGTCGTACATTTCCTAAGGACTGAGGCTATTTAAGGCATTTGTGTTTTCTAGGTAATCTTGACCTTCTAATAGCCATCACACAGTTTTTTATTTCTAGCCTTAGCGCCTATTTATATCCTAAAGACGGAGGTTATTTGCAAGATTTCTGTTCTCCAAGTAACTTTTCTAATTGTCATCTCCTGGTTTCTTGTCCGTAGCAATTACACGAATTCCGTCCTACAAAAGTAAGAATTTTGTCTTCACAACACTATTCTTAATCATTGCAAATAGTTGGTGCTTGAATATCAGTTGCAGTCAACGTCCAATCTTTTGAGCGGCGTAGAAACCACAGAATTGGCTGAAAAAGATCACCGCATACTTTTGTAACTGTCCTTCTGGGCTCAAATCTTCACAGCGATGCCCGAAGCAGCTCTGAAGGCCAGCCAGTACTATTATATCCCTCTGTACTTCTGCTATGGTGCTCTTTAACCTTTGTGCCATTAACACGTTACTCATCATAATCATCATTGCTAGTACTTGTGCTGTGACAAGAGATGATGGGTGAACATGAGAATAGTTAACCCTGCTACAGTTGCCCCCTTTCCATTGTGTGTACGTTTTACTGCCGTGCTTTGTGCACGCTCAACTGCATGACACTTTTGTATTGTGGGCAAGGTGACTTTTTGAAACCTGTGTGGTCGCAAACAGATTAGCACGCAAAACTGCAGTTTCAGGGCTACAAGATAACATGGTAACTGTGGTTCATTTGTATCATCGCCGTTCCGGGCCTGCAATCTTTTTATCTTGGCACGAGGTTTGCAACAATTGGTGGCAAAGTATTTCACCATCTCAAATTTTAAGACATCTTTGCAAATTGGTATTGTGCATTGGCATTGGTACATCGGGTGCACCTATTGTACCAATGTGAATATATGAGACAGTGACTACAAGAACGTATAACCAACATATAACAGAGACAGTTGCTTCGTACAGAAAACTTGCTAATCTCGACAAACTTTATCAGAGATTCTTACTGTAGTACTCGGGCAGTGCTTGTATTTATTCTGACGTTGTCAGTGACTATAGAAGTTTTATTTGTTAGAGGTAGTCCCACATCAAGCCTGTATTGTTTTTTCTCTTTTGCCGCTGCTATTTCGTCTACTACTGTATGCACTTGACAGAGTTTGCTGTCAGTAGCAGGTTGTCGCAGAGTTTGCTGAAAGTTTTGTTCTTAATACTTTTTCAATGGCTGCCAAAACTTTTGATACAATGCCTACTTTGCATAATGTGCATTCAGTTAGAAAGTAACTACCAAAGGAATTTCTGCCGTTAACGTCAGCAATCGCCCTTATATTTAGCTACCTCATGTGGATCACGCTAGCTTTCAGGGTACCCTTAAGCGGCCTCTAGCATTTTGAACTTGTTTTTAAATAAGCATGCCCATTGTGCGGAGAACGCTTTTAGAAGAAAAGAAAATAAATCCTGCAGCCATTTTTATGCTTTTGTAGGAGCTTCTGTGCACTCGGTGTCGCCAGCTAAGTCATGCGTGTGATGGTGCCAGGGTAAAAAGTTGTTTGTTAGTTCAAGTCATGGTGTGATGGTGCCAGGGTGGTTAGCTTCCAAGTTGTTGGTTAGTTTATCAATAGAAAGCAAGAGTGACTGAGATGAAAACTTTCTATGTGTTCTGAGGAAGAAAAGGAGTTCGCCTAATATGTGCCATCAGTAATTTTGGGCCGTTTCTGTTGAGTACGCATTGACCATCGAAAGGCAAGCATTGGAGAAGCTCTTCCTTTAGATCTCTATTCTCATGCTACTCCCAGCTTTCGCTACACTGCACAGAATCGGCAAGGTGGTGTGTACATAAGCACGCAATGGGTGGGAGTCGAGTGCCTGCAAGGAGAGTCCCAAAGTCAAGCAAAACAGTGCAGTGGCTGCCAGTACCAAACATTTCTAACTTCACTATTGCAGCATCACTTCACTACTTCTTGCAGCTGTGTGTTCATTGCATTCTGATGAGGTAAGTAACTGTAGCTATATAATGCGACAAGTTGTCGAGCTTAGAAGGGCTTAGAATAATGATATTAAGTTAAATATGCATTTGTTAAGGTACTAGGATCAGCAAACGGTTGTCAGTGTTTGTGGAGTGACATGGTGGCACATACTAAATACTTGCAAAGTGTTTGGGGAGCGCTTGAAGGGACCAGTTATGACAGCTACGGAAAAATTTTGTAATCGAAAAAGCAAGTGATGGATTCATTTCAGCTAGGCCAACAGTTGGGAAGTTGGGAAGCAGTGCGCAGAACCTGACAGAGGAAAGAAAATGCTTGTAATTGCGACTGCCTTGGTTAATTTTGTTTCCTCTGTTTTGTCCAGTATCGTGTGTGGCTTCGCATGCTCATCGTAAAAACACATTCAGGTGTGCGCTTGTGAAGAGTGCATGGGTATGAACCTTCCATCTCTGCTTCAATTCACCTGCAGTTCGTGATCATAAAGTCTCTAGATTTTTTTTCCTCTTCTTTCTTATATACCGACAACCATTGGAGCACCACGGACAAACCTCGCTAACAGTCATTTTCGGTAGCCACGTTCTTCCTAACACTTTTGCAGCACCTGGTGAAACGCGTCCCCCAGTCTCTAATGACGGGGGACTGACTGGAAGAGAAAGGCAGGTCACAGCACAGTGTCCGCTGAAAGATGCGTGGCTAATGCACTTGGACGTACATGGCTTTGTTAAACTTCCAAGTTCGGAGGAAAATGGCAGACAGAGGCTGTGCATGAGAAAAGGCTGGGAGAGGAGGTAGTTGTCGGTACTTTGGTTAAAGGGAAAAATCCAGGGGCTTTAGTTCACGAGGAGCAAAGCTTAGGGGGAATGAAACTTTGGACCGATCGTAATCTGTGATTAACACGAGGCTCAACGGTTAAGTTTCTGGTTTCTTATGAACTACAGATCTCTGTTATGAAATATCTGATGTTCTCATTACGAAAAATTCAATTAACTATTGTGTGAACAAGTTATTTTATATTACATTAACAGATTTGGACATAAAGTTGCATTCGAACAAATATGCTGCTAAAGAAACCTACAAAAAAAAAGTTGAGTGAATCAGTTTTAGGAACTCAATCACTCCACAGAAAATGAGGGTTATGATGACCCACTAGAAATCTAGTGAATGTGATGGGGTTTACCTCAAGTGTAATATGCCAAGAATACCACTTGGGATGAGTTTGCCACCTGGATGCATTTACGGCAATCTATCGGGTGTTATCAATGACACCGCCGGATATATGTTTTTGTCTTAATGGTCAAATGGGCTGTACGCAATACTTTCAGTTGAAGATGTCGACTGTCCATCTTGATGCTGAAACACCACTTTACAAATGTGCTCAGAGCGGCGTATTTGGTGTCGATTAAAGAGCATGAAAGGTCAAGTTTTCGTGGGCTATTCACTGTCATATTTCGTAAGCTGTCTGTACCACGCAGTACGCAGCAGTTGGTCTTGTTGGTTTGTGGAATGTTTTTGTGCTTGTTTTGCATCACTGTACTGCTTTTGATTCTGATATCCCCAGCATTGTCACCATGTCTTAGTAACATGCTGTCTTTGTACTGCCTGCATGTAATGTGGTTTATGACTGCTAATTGCAAGGAGAGATTTCTAAAGATTCGAATTCCTTTAAAATGTTAATGTACTACTTCTATTTGCATAGCGCATGCTCGCAGCACAGTGCACCCACTGCATCCAGTCCACATGCTTTAGTTCTCATCTTCTGTGCTTCTTTCACTATGGTGTGTATAATGTAGACAACTGGTGGTGCTAACCTTTTAGCATTCTTTTGGGAACGGGTGAAATATATCACCGAGGTGTGCCATGACGTCACGTTTACAGCTAGCCACAGCACACACGGACCTTTGCCCTGTTTTGCGCATATGCTCACCACTGTCTAAACTTTGGCTTCAGCTCAAAGCGGGTGTCGTGTGGTGCATTTTTTGATGCATAATGTAGGTTTAGGCTGTGAAAGATGTGAATACAATGGGTGCGCAGCTAACATGGAGCTAGCTTTAGAACTTGCAGTGAGGCCTTCTGCATCGACAGAACTGTCAGCAAACACTTGAAAAAGCCTTCAAAATGTTTTTTTTTTTTTGTATCGCATTGCCAGTTTTGATGAGTAAGGTGAGTGTTTTGCTATTAGCGTTGTGGCGCAGGGTGAAAACATTCAATGTGAGGGCCACATGAAAGCCCTGCCTTGAGATTTTGGCAATGTGCTTATTTAATGCATAAAAGTGCTAGTAACTGTGGCATAAAAAGAGTAGGCAAATGGTGTGCAGTTTGCCCTATAAACCTTTCAAGGCGTATTCTGGACACCTTTTTAATCGGTGCAGGAGCAAAAGAGCGGACCAAGAGGAGCCTCATAAAAAACACTTGAAACTGGCAGTTACAAAGCACCTTACACACCACATATTGATGATGCTGCTGTAAAGTCAATATTCACAAGCTTGCTCAATTGATTAGCATTCTGCTTATTCTATGTTATTCTACTCTTCCTTGGAATGTTTGTATCATCATGCTGGTGTGTTTTGCCTTTTATCTGCACCGTGGCCTTTGGTTCTCTTTAAAAATCATTCCTCAATAATTGAGACACCTAGTATATGCTGTGTACAAGACAGTGCAGTGTAGCCCTTCTGTTTTGTTCTTGAAAGTTTTCTCTCGGTGCCGTCCCATTAGAGTAACCGTATGCAATCTCATCCATATCTGTGCCAAAACTGTGGTCCCCATATGCGGCCACGAGCCGAGATGTGTTTAGTCCAGTAAGAGTAGATGAAGGTTTGTACTACCGCCCCCAATGCTTGGGTAAGTCATACAGGCCGGTGACGTCTTTCTTGCATTGTCTGATGATGGATGTATTCGCCACAATGTTGACGCATGCAGAAGAGGAAGCAGGTCGATAACAATGCGGGCACAGTCAGTGACATGCCTGCATCTTCACTTTTCTGCGTGCCCTCCTTGCCTGAACCAAATATGTATTCTAGAAACACCAGCTAAGAAGTAAATGATGAATCTAGCCAAAGAATTCAACTATTAGAAGTTGTCCTCTGTCAGACACTTCCGATAGTCAATGAAGTCAATCCACATTAAAGTTTCTTTTATTATAATCGTAGAGAGGAAGAAGATAGTGTGAGACTGTATTGCAGAGTGAAGCCTGAGTGTACGTGAAAACTGTTGCATCGGAGTGCACTGAAATCGGTGTCCTCTCACTTGAGCGCACTCGGAAGTGCCTGCGTTACAAAGGTAGAGCAGGGCTAAGGCGCACCTTGTGAGACATGGCCGATCAATATTACACTTTGTAATTGGAGCATTGGAGAAGACTAGAGTGGACGTGCACTTCATTGTTCTCGGAATGTACATGATCGCAAGCAAATTTTAGTTGTAAAGCAGTGAGCGCTATGCGTAAAACACATCCTGAACCTTTGCACTGAGCGCAAGAGTGTGTTGTCATGCCCTTTGGCTTCATTGCAAGCATACGTGTGCTTCACTAAGGCAATGACAACCACCATCTTCTTTACCTTTCTTTGTAAGCTTTGGGTCGTCGAAAAGTGTTGCGCTCCAAGCCAACGCGTCTGTAGTTTTAATTTTTCGTGGCCTTTGAGAACTGTCAAATGTATTGATTGATAGAAACCATCAAGCGATGATATGTGTTCAGTGTTTGCTGTTGTGGTGTGTGTACATGGCAAGAGAGAGTGTCTTTCTTAAGTCTAGATGTGCTATTAATGTGTGCTTCATTTTAAACTGTTGTTGTATAGACAGTGTCGTGTGTTACGCATACATGCCTGTGTCTGCATTTGCTCTTGAAACTTCTTGCTTTGGAGGCCTGCATTTGATACATCTCTGTACCGCCTTGATGAAAGACATTTGATTTGTTAAAGGTCACCAGGCATCTTGACATGAAATAAAGTGTTACATACGTTAAGTGGTCTTCATTCTTTATTGCATGTTTTCTAGTGCATGCATGTTAGATGTACAAGAAGTATTTGTATGTGTGCCCAGGTACACATGCATATATAGACACGTGTAAACTAAAAAACTGAGTTAACAGCACAAAAGCCACTTCCTTACTTTAAGCAAGGCAATGTTATGTAGTTTTAATGATGTGCCGAGGATTCATTATCGCTTTAAAAAAACAATATAGCAATGTGAATGGCGGCATGGGACATGTTTTCCACATAGAATCCTGCATGTTCCTTCACTGTTGCACATAAGAAGGCACAGGTATTAAGTTATTGTTCGCAGTTTTTTCAGTTGGGCTGTGGCGATTAGTAGTGGCTGTTTTACATGTCAAGTTTTATAAAAACGGTCCATTGTTGGAGGCCTTTATTGATTAGTGTTGAGGTTAAGCAGAAGTGCTGCTTATTAGCATTTTAGTGTTTTCAAACAGGAGAGAGCAAATGACCGTATGGCTTTTGACATCCATCCAGCCTCTTCCACTTCCAAGATCCACTCCCAAGGTAGCGTGCTATTGAGAAGAGGAAGCTTTATCGTGCGCTCTACTGTAAGTTTGTGCAGCGATTTTCATCACTGGGAAACTCGATTCAAACTAAAAGTATTCTTGTGCCCGTCCACCAATCAGCGCTACCTTTTGTGATTTATTAAGAATTGCAATGTGGACATTCAACCATACTGGAAAATCAATGATACAATATTCTGATTCATAATTGGCTATCATTGCACTCTGTGGTGTGCTGGGCATTGTTCAATGGTTCGTCTGCCCATTGATGCAGCTGAGTTATCGGGGAACTGGTTTCCCCACGTCGCCACGTTTGCGCTCTACATATGCATAAAAGGGTGTAAAAGGATTTTTAGTGTTCTTGAAGTGCCCCCAACTATGGCTAAGCCAATTGTTCCCGACTGGACCATAATTTTTTTTTCCTCCCCCTAGCCCTTCCCGTTTCGCCCGTGTACCATATGCCACCCTCTCTCTCAGCCAAACACGCGAATGACGTCACTTCGACAATCCAATTATCGCCGTCATACACGTACAGTTCGCGTGCGTCATGCAGATCCTTTCAGCGCGAACAAATAAACGTTGCCCACTTGCTCCAACATTTATATTGGCCATACGGGGCCTCCCGCTGTACGTTACCTCGGATGGCACCACTGGGATCGCTCCGGCTGTCTGAGCAGAGATAAAATAAAAGAATTGAACTGGAACGAAGAAGCAGTGGTGTCGTCTGCTGTAAGCACAGGAAGCCGGTCTACGAGGTCGTAACGGTGCCTTTCTTTTGAGCGCTAGTTTGTGGTTATGCGAGTACATGAGCTGTTGAACCATCATTAATACATCCACGACGCAGTGTAAGCGCCGAGGTGAAAACGTTGGACGACGAACACCGCATGGAGAACGTGTTTCGTGTCGCTCGAATTTACCCCGCTGAAGCGCGCACGCGGACACCGTAGCGCCGCGGCGCTCTTGTAGTCGCCATTTTCTGGCATGTGACTACAGTCACGTGACCGAACCTTCGTCTGGTTGTGTGGCGAAGGCGAGAGGAGGGAGGGCAAATCGAGCTCCATCAAAAAGCTCGCCGCGGCCTTTTAGTGGGGGGTTTGTGCTGTGTTGTGTGTCGTAGTTGTGGTGGCAGCCGCACACGAGAAATGCTGTGATGTAAGCAACGAGACTGGAGGATCGTTTAACCCGTGGGCCGCTGCTAGCCTTGCTACAGTTCACCATCGCGCGCGCGTGTGTTTTGTGTTGTTGCTGGGCCCGCTGGTATCCTCGTTTTTTATCGCAGCGCGCTCGCTATGCGACTCTTGTGACCGTGCGGAGGATATCGTCGTCGCCAGAGACGCTGGCCCGAGCAGCCCCCAGCAGCAGAGGAGCTTTAAAAGTTCACGCTCTGGCGACGTTCTAGCAGTGTAGGCTCGCCGGGCAAGGCGGCGGCGGTCGAAACAGTACCGGTCTTGTGCGATCCGCAAACCGTTTCACGAAGGTGAAAGACCTTGGGAAAAGGAGCTCGTCGTTTTGTGGTCGGGCAGGCACGGATTCGCCAGCGCTCTGCCGTTGAAACACACCAAGGATAGACAGCGGCTGCAGGAAGAAAGCGGCGACCACCGCTGCTTGAAAAGAAACTCGACCGCTCCTGCAATCGACCTTTTTTCTCGGTTCTGAACCCGTCTACGCTGCCGTGCGAGTCGATCGGCCGCAACAAGCGTCCACAACAAGTTTCGTGTGTGCGATCGGTGTTGTGTGTGAAGGTGCCGCAACCCTCTTTTTTTGGATTCCCACTGACACGACGAGAAAGGAAAGCTGGCCTCGCGCTGGTGGTGATGTCGGCGGGCGCATCCGGGGGACAGCAGCATCGGCGGAGACGCGAGTTTTGGCGGCGGACGCCGTCTAGGGCCCTGTGATTGTGCTTCTATCGAAGGGGGTCCTCCGTGCCCCCCCGACAAAGCAGCCGAGCTGGCGTCGTTCAGTGCCCGCGAGAAGGCGGCCGTCATGTCCGAGTACCAATGGTGAGATTTTTTTTTCTTGTTGTTTCAACCCCCGCTCCCCCTTTTCCCCGCACTCTTTAAACGAACCAGCAGCGCGCTGCTTGGAACCCGACCGACGGCGCCTGCCGAACCTCGGGGGTCAATGCAGCCGTTGGTATACCGAATGCGTCGAGATCGGACACAAATGGTTCTCACGTTTGAGCTACGATTGTAGTGTCCACAAGGCTCGAATTGCGAGCCTGTCGCGGCGGCGATCACCCGCTATTTGAACACTCCCGAGAACAAAGGCTCGCGTACTACGCACGAACTACTACTCGCGATGTTGCGTGCAGCCGCTGAACACGGACAGCCCTCCGTGTAGTTTCATCAGCGGTCTCTTGATTTCTATTTCTTCCCCTTCTTCTCACTAGGCCTAATGCCGAGCCGAAACTGGCCCCCCCGGCCGTGTGAACGGCGTCGCCCAAAATGTGGGTCAGAGGCCGTCAGACAGGTGTGAGTGGCCGCACTGTAGCAGCGGCTTCGTGGAAGCCGCCGTATCCTGTGATGAAACGGGCGCATCGTAGTGCGTTGTGTTCGTTCCTCTTGTTTTTTTTTTTTTAAATCGACGCCCGGAGTGTCGCGTTTTGTTTTGCTTGCGGAAATAGCATCGTCAAACATCTGCCCCGCGGTGGGAAGCTGCGAGAGATAGGAACTGCCATGATGAGGGCGAGAGGAGTGGTAGACTCTTTTGAGAGGAAGTCGTCGCCGCTTCTCAGGGGTTGTTTTCGAGTGAGACCGTCCCCGCGGTTTTCCAGATCGGATGTCTTATCTCGGCGGCATATTGACTCCGGGGGGGGGGGGGGGGGTGTTCAATATGCCGCTGAATATGGGGTCCATACAGATTAAGGCGGCAGGGCGTTCTTGGGAACAGCACTGTTGGGGTAACCAGTGCGTGGCCTTTCTGCGTGATTTTTGCCAAGAACTGCCCCCATGGCCCGGAAGCTGGAGTAATGCAAATGTAAACATTAAGATGGTGATAGGGAAAGGTCACATTTTTACTGTAAATTTAATGTCGTAATTCTAGTGACGCGAAAAATAATAAAATGAATTGAAGCGACAGGAGGATGGTTCCTTTTCTTGTTTCTCAGAAGCTTGCGGCGTTGATTGTTTCACTATATGCGTCGGGAGATTGCAACATGTCTCGGTTTTCGTGCGCACAGCAACGTTGTGTTGCTGCACTCGACCAAAAAAAAAAAAAAAGGTAGCCTGTGATTTGTATCAAACCATGAAGCGACTGTTTTATCCCGTCTCGTTGATGCGTATTTCCCAACGTAGAAACCATCGTGAGGGCGCGACAAAACACACACAGAAAGAGACAGCGCTCTGAGTGGGACGCCTATTTAAAAATAGTTGCATTGGAGCAGGCGGCGCCTAAAGCGGTGCTCATCGTGTAAATGGAAAAAAAAAATGAAAAAAGGTGGCGTTTTATGATTGAATCACCGTCGGTTGTGACATCGTGCTGCTGTTGCGCTGCGCGCTTTCGCTATGCTTTCGTAAAATAGTCCGAAGGAGAATGCAGTCGGTTTCCTTTGTAGTCTTTCGAGTGGTCGGACGAGTAACTTAAATCGGGAAACGGCACTAAAGAAACGGAAGTTGAGAAACGAACACGGGACGCCGAAGTGTGTTTTGCTGCTCGTTCTTCTGTTTCGTTTTTAAAGTGCTGTTTCCCGATTCAAAATGCTCAACCAACTAGCCAACAAGCTAAGCTTATTTGCCGAATGTCCACGTTATAACTGCCACCCACTATTTGTCAACACCGAGCAGACGGTTACCTAGCGTCGTCTGCTACTTTTTTGTCTCGCGTCTGGTCCCGACGTTCAGTGAACGGGCTACCTTTCTCAGTGAGAAGTGCGTGCCGCTAACGGGTGTGCCGTCAAAGAATAGCTCGACCATTTATCGCACATAACCATCGAGAAGTTGCCGAGCTCCCCTCCCCTGCCTTTTGTCGAGCTGGCTCGGTCAAGCCGGAAAGCAACAGCGCGACGGCATCGAGCGGTCCTTTTGCTTTGTTGTCGGTAACGAGCGCGGGTCAAGAACCCAAAGTAGCGGGACCGGTCGAACGTTGCGGCGTAGCCTTTGCTCGTTCGAAAGAAATAAGCAAACAAGAGCGACATCGTGGCCACATTCATTGGTCATGCCGCGGCAGCGGACGCTTTGCCGCCCGACCAGGCCCTTCGGGGAATCTGGGTTGCGGACAGATTTCCGCGGAAGGAACCCTCTCTTGCCCTTTGCTTGTTCGATTATTTTACTTTTTTGCTCAAGTTCGAGTCGCAGAACCGTCGTGCCGCGACCCCATATTTATTTTAGTATTTTTTTCACGACTGTTGCGAGGCGGCGTAATGTAACACAGTAATAGCGAGGAATTGAATACGTTTCGCTTTACGCAAGATCTTAATCAAGACTCCAGGAAAAGGAAATCCGAAGTCTAATTTTTATTTTTTGCGCTTGAATAAATTGAATTCAGTAGGATACCCTAACTGGTAGAGTGTCATAGTAGAGTTGCAAGTAGATGGTCTGAAGAACTTTATTCAAGTCCTGGAGGTCATCCTTAACGCAAACGGCTGCCACGTGCGAGAGGTAAAAAATGAATAAATAAAAACTCAGCCCGCACCATAGGGATATATAACACGCATTCGCTGGCCGCGAATTTACAAAGGTGGCCTCACGACGCTCTCAGAAACTTCGTGCTCATTGGTTCGTGTGTGATTTCGTCAACAAACATGGCTGCGTCCATGATCGCGCTGCAGGGTTCGTGTGTCGGACGCGGGCACAGCTGATGCAGATGCCGCGTCGAAGGCGACAACAAAGTTGACGCTCGCACGCGTAAGGCCAAACAGCCTACGATGAATAGGGAGACGGCGCTATCAAGTAGTTGGCGCTACCAAGGTGCTACAGAAACGCTGTGCGCACGCCTGTGTCGACGCTGTCGAAAGACTCGTCGCCCCGTTTGCAACGATCGCCGGAAACATCGAAGTCGGCGCAGATATGCAGCGAAAAGTGGAAGATGATGGTGTACTGAGTTCATGTGCGGACTATATAACAATAATCGCAACTCGGTAAGCCTTTGGTGCAGCTCGAAGAGCCGGTGTCGGAGAACTTGAACTTGAGTGTCTATACTCCGCGCACGTCACTCGGTCGGCCACACAATATAAGCTCAGTTTGCACTTATTCTGACATATCTTAGGCTACCCATGTGCCCATCCGCCGAAGTGTCCTTTTAAATGGACTCTAAATGCAACTATTAAGCCGACGTTGATTGTTGAAATAACGGTCCAGAGATCTCGTAGTGTTACTTTTGTGCCAAAGAAGTGCAAATAAAATGACTGTTTAGTGGTCCGCATCGGGTCAGCGCACTTCAATTTACCCACCAGAAGCGTAACGTGTCACGTCACTGTTACCCTGCACAACGTTGCCCGGCTTTACTGTGCCGCCGCCGACTCTAGTAGCGGCACAACGAATGTAGCGGGAGCAGCAGCAGCAACCACGGGCATTGAACAATTTTCTGCCATGGCCTCCGAGATGGCAGACGTGCTTGGTTCAAGTGGGCCCCGCTAGATGGCACGACCTGTCTAGTTTAACCAGGCGAAAATTGATACTTCCGCCCCCGGGGCCAAAGCTCAGTAAAGAATCTCATGTAGCGTGGCGTCGCATTCAGACCTTGTCTTACCCCAATCCGTACATACTGTCCAACATGGATCCCGACACATACGCACCACAGCGCAGGTTCTGTGTCACTAAAACAGCCACCCTGTACCACATAGTATGGGAATGCCCACACAATCCCCCTCTACAACCCAGAGCACAGCACAGCACTGTAGGGTGTGAGGCAGCTTTGTCCAGCTCGGATCGGAAGACCCAAGAGGCCCTCGTGAGACGAGCGAGGACAGCGGCCCGTGCCATTGGGATGCCGAACTAAGGAAACAACTCACCGACATTCCTTCCTCGGTCTCAAATAAATGTTTTATTCTCTCTCAGGTGAAAATTGAACATTTGAACCACTCGCGCCATTCTCCATAGTAACGTCCGGTTTTTCTTTTTTTCATGAATCAAACAGAAACGAACAAGCAGCATCTTATTATGTCTCTTGATGCACGGAAAATTCTTTATTAAGTACAGCTAGTTCGATTACTAGTGATTAATTGTAGGCGGTACCTCTGACGTTATGGGGATCATTTTACGAATGCCCTATATTAGCGCATGTTTTCTCGTTCATTTACCCGAATGTTTCGGTAAGTAGGGCGCTGCTGTTGATAATATTGTCGTTTTAACCGTTGTCATACATTGAGCTCTCACTCTGAAGTAGAATGTTATTTGACTTTACTGTCCCTTTAAGGAGAGACAGTTACGGGGGGCACTTTTCTCTTCTTCATTACAATCATTTACACTCCGGAAGAGCAAAGTCTAGTCTTATAGCGGACCTTCTGGATGTCCTGTACTTAACCTAACAGAACTATTGTGAAGACATCGCGGAGAACAGGGACACGTTACCATATAGGTTGGCAAAAAAAGGGGGGGAGGGAGCTGTCATTCAGTCTCCCAAGAAATATATCGCGCTCAGGCGTCACTCACAGGTGGGTCTGAGTGAGCGGACTCATAGGTCAGTTTTAGGATCTGTGACAGACTGTAGAGGGTTTTAGAACAACGCAAAGCTTTGCGTTACGCGTGCGTCGTACGCTAACTTCTTGCGGGTTCCCGTTGAGTGATGAACGCTACGCCTGCTAGCTTTCCGTACAGTATTCTAAAGCTGTAGTGAGTCCTCGGGGAGCTGCGTTAGCCATCTCAGGTGAATTCTTCCGAGACGGATCGATGGAGCCCATGTGCGCAGGACACGAGATTTTGATATCTTGGATGTCAATTTCGCCTATTAGCTGGGCAGTGTGTGTGTGTGTGTGTGTGTGTGTGTGTGTGTGTGTGTGTGTGTGTGTGTGTGTGTGTGTGTGTGTAAAAACGTCTGTATCCGTTATAGCAGTAGTCATTTGTGG